TTATTGCACATTGGGAAATAAGGTTTACTCTTTTACTTAATTTAATAATATTATTTTGATTATACAAGGAGGTGTATATTGAATGGATATTAATATTAAAGTTGGTATGTCATAAAAATGTCAATTCATATTATTGTCGTGCATAGGATATTTCATCTTGTTCACTCCTAACAAGGCTTCGCACAATATCTAACTAATTTACGTTAAGAACAACAAAAGTTTTTTCGGCACTCTCGTAGTATGTGTACAAGGTTGGGTTAGGCTATGATTTAATTCCAATTTTCCTTATTTTAGTTCTATTACGAGTTCGGGGAATGTTTGCGTTAGCCAAGTGAATATACCGCCTGCCCATAGGTTTTAGTCTTTTTACACAACTTGATGTAAAGTAGGCGAACAAAATAAGTTACTTCCATATTGGTACACATACTTCAGGAGAGACGTTTTTTCTTTGGCAGGGCCTAACCTATTTCTTTCACTATGGCTGATGTATTTATAATATGTACCGGTAACGGTAAGTCAAAATATTATTCCATAAGGTAAATGCATTAAAACATAATGTAGAAATTTGATTAAAGCGATGGGCTAGTGGTTAAAGAGATTGACTTAACTGTGCTGGTATTGTGGATTTTAGGCCCCGATCTCGAGTTCAAATCCCATGTCCACCACCTTGTCCAGTGTAATAAATTAGGCAGGCAATGCCGAACTGGAAAGATTTCAATGATAGTTGCTTCTTACATATTGTTATATATCAGGGATTGCTTGTATAGGATCTTGTTCAGAGCATAAAAATCTTTGTATAAAAACATAAAGAAGCAAAGCCACAGTTCATTAACTATATTTTCATAAAATTTTAATGATAGCCTTTTCAAAAAGTTTTTGAGTAGGACAGTTTGATGCATAATGGATGAATTTATTTGATGCAGGATAATGAATCAGTTAATCAATTCCAATCAATTGACTAATTAATTAACTATGGATGCATCCAACAAATAGTCATTTTATTAAAACATTGTAAGTACCATATGCTTCTAGCAATGTTTTCCCACGACATTTTATTGACATTTTATATAGGTAGGTTAAAGCAATAGTAGATTGGACCCAAGGCTGAGCCCAACTTGTTAAATTGACTGATTCCCAGTTCCCACTTCTGTTGATATAACGATTTTTAAATGAGACTGTATGTTTGTTTATTACTTTAAGACAATCAGCGCAATTCCATTAAATCGTAGGCTTTGTAGACTATATATATCAAATGCTTACCTAATTGTCTTTGAATTAAATTTTCGTTTGTACAAAATTAGATTTTATTTGAAAAATAAACATTATATAAACAACGGATCTAGGATAATTATATTTGTTTTATGCACTATCGTGAATTATTTATATCATGATTTTTAAAAAACATGAGAAAAATATATGTGGTTAAATCGAAAATTAAACAAATATAGTATTTTTAATCTTTATTATCATTGTAAATTTTAGTTATATTTTGCTTTTTTTAAACTATTAATACTTTTCAAAATACATTTTTTTATTTCCTCCCATTTTTCTAATTAATATCATATTGCATTGTAATTTGTTCACTGATCACTAATAATTAAAAATTTGCATTTACTAATATGTATTGAATTCAGGGATGGCCAAAACCGAATATTTTACTATTCCGAATACATTCTAAAAAATGGTTTCGAATATGGAATATTAGTTGCATTCTAAATTAGGGGAAGTTTTTGTGGAAAATTATATAAATCACAATATCTTCATGTTAATCATATCTAAATCGATATAAATATGAGGGTCACTGTCTCCTCTGTGTTGTTTGTTATCAGTGGAGTTATCAGATGTTTTGATCTGCTTGTCTGACGGCTCCAAATCTCTCAAGTTCAAATAAAAATATTGTAATTTATTCCTAAATTCGAAATTTTTTACTTAGAATACAATGAAATTTGAATGTATTCGATTCATTTTAGAAATCCCTGAAAACTTATAGGAATGAATTTGATTCCTTTGTTCTATTGAACAAGAGAGAAATTTTTTAATATAGGAACGCGAAGATCCAATGACTAATATATGTACCACACTGTAGAAAAAATTCCAACCAAAATTTGAAAGAATAATCCTGAATGTAATATAAACGTGTGCTTGGAAATCATAAAATCCAGCGAGATTTGTAGAAATATTGGGCCCGTGAGAAATAAAAAAGTAAAGGTAATATCAACCTTCTAGCGACTATCTATGAAAACCAGAGGACTGAAATCGATAGGTTGATTGAAAAGAATTTCTTTTTCCCAACGACCACCCAACAAAAAGTACAACAATTTAGCGGTATTGTAACTGTAATTTATTTACCACAATATGTACAGCTCATTACAGTACAATATTAATCATGCATCACAGAGGTGTCCAAAACAGAAAAATAAAATAAAAATTAAATATATTGGAATATCCTTACTTCTTGGTTTATTAATAAGGTGTTATTTAGAATACTCTAATTTAAAATTGTTATCTCAATTAGCATTTGACATTGGCCAATTAGATAAAACTAAACTTAGTTTTACTCCCCACACTGTAAAAAACAGAATATTAATCAAATCTATTTTTATTTCAATTTAATAATTAATTTAAAAGCCAAATTTAATTTGTGAGAATATTGTGTATTGAATTACATGTTCTTTCTCCTTGAATGGTATTAAATAAAAAATAAAATAATATCTTTCAACGAAATTGCAAGTACAGCAATAATTTAATCAGTAATCTTTTGTTAGACTATGGTTTGTATAAATAATTTCCATTGAATATGGAATTTTATTTTATTCAATATTCCATATTGAAAATATCATTTTAGAATGTATGTAGAAAAGTAGATTGACATGACAGGAATTGAGCCTTTGGTTGTTTCAGGATTGATTCTGTACTTTGTAAGTCAATTTGAATCATTAAATTAATCATTCTTTTCTCACCTTGATCTTGGGTTCTTTATTACATTGACAAGGTTTAAAATGTGGATAATGAAACTTTCGTTTCACACGAACCATTCAAAAAATTCTAATAAGTAGCTGTGTGAAAATTTAATTCGATTTAAAATGTAGGCCGTTATGCAATTCACGCCTGAAATCTTCACCTAATAAGGTATCATGGCTTGTCTGATTCTTCAATGTGCAATTATGTTACTATGTAACACTGATAAGGTTGAGATTTATACACAGATTCAATATGTAGGCATACTTTGTTTCTGTCCTGGTTTCAACTTTCAATAAGACTGGGTTTGATCCATAATAGAAGGGAGTTCGAATTGGGCCTGATCATGCTTGAATGTGAAATTTGATATAATGTGACATTTTTGGATATTGTTATTACCTGTTGATAAACAGTCCTCAAACTAGATGTGTTACGTTTTTTTGCAAATTTAAAAAGTTCAGATCTTGAAATGAGCTATAACCAGGGCACTACAGATTCAATATGTACTCCTTTTTTATTAAAATTTGCAATCCACACTGCTGAAGCATATGTAATGTGTCAAGTGATGCCGAAAAATAAGTGAATATTCGAATATATTCAAAATTAGCTACCTATAGAGTAAGTTTGGGATGTTGGAAATAATTTGGAATATTTTCAATTGATAATTAAATATTTCGTCTATTAAAATATAGTATTCAAACTAAAAATATGAGTGCTTTTACTTCGGGTAACAATAGTATCTCATCTTTCTGCGTTATAAGATTAAACTATCATATTGATTGATTTGTGCATATTTTCCGTTGAACATGACCCAATTCAGAATTTTTTTATTATTCCATATTCAAAAACATTTTTCAGAATGTCTATTATCTTCAACTATTATTTTAATTTTATCAGGATATAGAAAATATTTAGAATTGTGATATTTAGAAAAATCAAAAATGCAAAAATCTTAAATGCTTTCTTATTTTTAATATAGACATGACTAGACCACACATGGTGTATGTGACCTTAGAGTGTGATGTGATAAAAACTACATGAAACGAAACCATGATATGAAACTACGCAACATTTAAAAAAACGTGTAGGGCACAGGTGGCTCACACTCAAATTTATTGTTTACTTAGGGGCGGTAATGTTATTGTCGATATAAGTTAATCACATAATTATTCCACTTTGCGTAAGAAAATATGTTCTCTATCCTCAAATTGACACTTATGTATAATTTAATTACTCATAATTAATATTAGCGAAACATAGAATTATGTGTCATTACATTTTTCTTATAATTTACTGAGGGAAAACCCGGATTATCACCATAAACAGCACTACATTTATAGATGAACTGCTTGAACAGACCTACACAAATAAGGACAGAAATAAATATAGTTGTTTTGTTAAATTTTTATTCATTTGTTCATTTTTGTATAAATCCGAATATCTGATTTTTCAAATATTCAGCTACACACAATCGCTGTTTATATCTGAATAGTGTTACCGGTATATTTTTGATTTTGATTTTCTATCAATTTCAGTTTCAAACATTTTGAGTTCAAAAAATTAAATGTAAAATGGCAAATTAGACAGTGAAACTAGCAATTTCAAAATCTATTTCTCAGAAAAAATCTTTTTGAAATAGTACTGATTTCAAATTTCATTAAAACCAAATTTTCTTGACATTTCCCAGAAAAAAACTGTTTGAGAGTGCTTAGAACCTTTGGTTTACTTGATACTGAAATTACATTGAATTATTCCACTCAGACGCTGTGATGGATATTTCAATGCATATTTATGGGCATGGTGGTCTAGTGGTTAAAATGTCAGACTTAAACGCAGGTTACAATCTTGGGTTCAAATCCCATGTCCACCACCTCATCACTCAGGGTGTAAAAAACTGGGTAGGCAATGCCAAATTAGAAAGATTACGGTCCATCCAAAAATAGTATCATCCAGATATCAGTGGCTGCTTCTACAGGGCCTTTTTCGGAGCCATAGACGTGCACAAGCACCATATAAAAAAAATTTATATGATTCCTTTTTAGGTTGAAGGCAGAGACTCACCGAAATTTATGAGTCGAAGGAGTTCCAATGTCGGTATGGATGCGGATGTATCACAGACTGAAGCTGAATTGCAATTAAGAAATTCAAGTACGTAATTACTCGTTTGCAAAGTCGTGCGTTTATTCCACTTGAGATTGTTTTTGCAAGTCATAATTATGTTTCTTACTTTTTTTTTTCACAAACGTATATACTGTTATTAGTTGCTTCACCTGACGCAATATGTACATTGTATGTCGTAAAACTATCCATGTAGCATAATGGTGAATTCCAGTTTGTTTTTAATAAAGAATGAAACCACAATGAAGACGGACGAAGATGAGATAGAGGTTTCGAAATTAATTATAACTGAAAATTTCATATTACCTTCTTAATTTCCGGCCGTGGCAGCATAGTGGTTAAAGCAATAGACTTAACTCTGTTGGTACACATCGTAAGGTACACATCTCGGGTTCTAATCCCATCCCCACCACCTCAAATTGGGGTGATGAATGTATATATCGTTGTATTTTATCTTATACAGAGACTTTTTTAGAGCAAAAGACATAACAAATAACATATAGAATTAAATATCTTTACACAGAAATAATGTGTGGTAAAATCCTCAATTTCATCATTTTATTTCTTATTTATTGATTTTAATAAAGATTCAAGTAACACAGAAAATGGTCATTTACAGTCTTTCTATAATGCTCTGAAATGCACTTTATTCTGGGAAAAATAAAATAAATTGGGAAGTCAGACAATTTATAAAAATTACTGAAACTTGAGATCCAGTTTCATTATTAATCTGGGTTAAAAACTTAAATTCTTTTTGAACTAAAGAATACAAGAGACATACATATTTGTGGTCATTTTTCGATAAATCCTCTTTAGGAATTAATACTTTCTACTTGATGGATTTGTGCCTAATCTGTACTCTGATTCATTTTGGTATTTTCATATATCTTATTACTATACTATACTATTAAAACTTAAACAACTTTTTTAAAGTTTTTTTTGCTTTTCAGGAAAGTCGTCAAATGCATCGATTGTATCATCAACATCACAAGTTTTCAGAAGAACGTCGCTTGCTTTTTCTGCAGTCAAATATTACAGCAACCAAATGAAGGTATTATTCCCATATACTTGTATAGTTTATATATAGGACAAAGCCACCTTGCATGAAATTTTTCAAACCAATTTTTCAAGGCCTGGTGATGGGGCAGTAGGAAAATATGATAGGTATAGAAAAGAAAGCATATTTATTAAAATTAATACTCAAATACATTGATCGCATGTTTTTGTCACAAATATCATCTTTCGAAACAGTTAGTTGAAGGTTCTTTTGGTAACCTGTTTTTCTTACTTGAGATAAGGGGTTCTCTCAATTATACTCTCATTCACCCCTTTGCAAATTTCAGAGGGAAAATTGTATATTGCCATGTCAGTAGCGTAAGGCATGAAAGAGCATCATACAACAACAAAAATTATGAAATTTTACTTATTGCGTTTATCAATTATCCAATTCATTATAAAATCTGGATAAGTAATTTGAGAATTTTTTTACATTCAATTTACAGGCTGTATTTACCATTGCATTCATTCTTGGTATATTGTTGGTTACAATGGGACCATTTGTTGTTACTGCTCTGGTAGAAGCTTCTCATGGAGTCGACACAGAAACTTATACGAATACTGATATTCCTCCACCTTCTCCTGTACCAAAAATAACACTTTCTATAGCGACTTGTTTTATGTATTTAACGTAAGTTTTACTGTAATTATACTGATATTTTTGTTTTTCTATAAAGTACTTCTGAGTGAGTGTGAGTGACATTTATTGATCATTTTTCTCAAAATAAAATCAATATTATGTTGCCGAAACTGTATCAAGCAGTGTTGAGGAAGCATGATTCGAGTTACTCTGGTCACATTTTTCAAAGACTCAAAGTCACTTGAGTCCTCTCAACGATACTACGTGAGATCAGGGATGCAGTGACTATACTTGACTTGGTTATATATTCGCTTGAAATCAGACTAGACCCAGATGACCTGTCACTCTGTTTGTGATTTGGATCTATGAATTTATAATCAATCCTGGTATCAAAAATCAAAACAGTTAAATAGGAAAAGTTTATATTTATTAATAGGTTTGATTTTGAGTATCTTAAAAAATATTTTGTAGCAGAAGCAAAAGAAATTCTGTATTTTCCCCTCCAAAATTTATAGTGACTTAATGAATTGTTCGAACCCGCGTTATATCTGTTTGGATTCTTGCTATGAAATCCTTGCAACCAGTGCCTACAGAAGCACTGACACCAAAACAGAGAGGATCGAGCAGTAGTCATTCACATACTACTCTTATCAATTATTGTTTATTGAAAATTATCAAACTTTTATGCGACTATCATTGACAATGAAGAGCTATATTGAGGTAGTTGTATTATTCGGAAAATATGAAAATATGCATAATAAATCCTATTAACATATTTTTCAATTTTATTTCCTCTCAGATGTGTGTATTATCCTCTGATATATGGTTTATGGAATCGGACAGTAAGAAAAGAAATGAAATATTTATTATGTGGATATCAACATCCTGATCACAGACAAATGAATAGAACAAGAATATTAAGCTTGACAACTCATATCCAAGGTAAGATTGTTGAAACAGTATGCCAATGTTTGCTATTAAAGCAGTTTGTTCGAACCGTTTTTTTGATAAATTCATTCAAAGTTTTCATTATTTTCCAATCTTTACTGCATTCTGGGCTATTGTTAAATGTCACACTAAACATTATTTATTGAGGCTACACCAAATCAAAAAAATTGTCCTTCCCAATAACAACAAAATTCTACCTTGGAAGAAATCCCCCCCCCCCCTCCAGGTTGATGTTGCACTATTTCTGAATAACACCAATTTAATTTCTTTAATTCACTATTTATGATATGTAGATGAATACAGAATGTTCATAAAACCCTGTTACAATTTTGAATTTTGTTATGGAGACTGTTCTCAATATATTTCAACCAGGCCTGTTTTGTTTTAATCAGTGTTTATTTAATTTTTTAATACACCTTTATATGCCCACTATTAGTTACAGGGAGCACATCAAGCTTTTTTTTATTAAATAATTTAATACAGGACTTTGTGAGGACCATTATAACTTATTATTGTAAATACTTGTGTTTGTCAGATCTTGGAATGTCTCCTGGATTAACAGCTGCTATCATTGGTGAATCTGATCCTACAACGTTTAACACAAATTTTATGAGAGATCGTAATTTTCGAGCATCAACGCGGCATATCCGCAGTGACAAAGAAGAAGTTATTGCAGCGGCCAACAAACGTCGCCATACTTTACACTCACTTTCTGGCTCTTTACTGCCACAAGTGGCACCGGGAACAACGTCACCTGCGGTACATGGAAGGTCTCGACATCATGGATTTCTTTCGCGAATGAGAAAAGAAAATTTTCATGGTTTGTATAGCTCTATATTTAGGGACTTATTCAGCATTAATGTAATGCTAAATAGATAAGTATTAGCAGGTAAAATTTTCTCCCATTAAAACAATAAATCTACTCCATTGGGGGAAATTCCGCCCTGATTGGTTAACATGCAATAATGGATATATATTAAATGTTTCATATTTGAAATTAATTTTTCCGGGTACATATTAATATACCAATATATTTTGTATTAAACTACAAGTCCTTTCCCTTGTTTACTCTCTACTTCAGATCAGTATGGTACCATTGCCACAAAAAAGGCTGAAATTGTATTCAAAGTGATAAGATTATTTGCTGTTCAATTAAGATATATCTTGTTAACCATGATCGAAAGAAAGCTCTTAATTATACCTACTTCTTATTTTGTGGAAAGCAATTATGCTATTCTTACATATGGAATAGTGAATTATCAAGTGTGATCAGTGTTGTTTGAAAATTATTATCATTTAACAGCTCTCCAGAAGTGTGTGTACCAATGTGGGGGTAACTAATTTTGTTCGCCTACTTCACATCAAGTTGTGTAAAGGGACTAAAGTCTCTGGGCAGGGGGTATATTCTTTGGCTAACACAGGCAGTCTTTGAACCTGTGATAGAATTAAAATGAGGGAAATCGAAGTAAAATTATGGCCTAACCCTAACCTGGTACACAGACTGCGGGAGTCCCTATTTAACTGTTAAAATGAAACCCTGTCCATATTTAGATCGTCTTGGCACTGATATCGGAGTGATAGCGGAAGAATCAGATCAAGAAGAAAGTGGTGGAAGTCTGTCTCGATCCTCCAATCAGAATAATTTTTCTAACAACAGTAGCATGAGAAGATGGAGACATGGTTATACTGTCAAAACAGTTTCTGATACAATTAATGAAACAGGTATAATTGAGAATATCGATTTGAAGTTAATTACGGTATATGCAACTCATAAAGTTTTGATTATACAATACTTTCATTTCAAATTATCACTTTGAGCAATTGAAGTCTCACAGTATTCCTAATAAGGTATTCCCTGCTAAATACTATGACTATACTTTAGTTTTCGCTGTTGAATGTGACCAACTTCAAGAATATATTTTTAAATTTCCTATTTTAAAATATTATTTCAGAATGCGCCAACACCCTACTTTTATAACGGCTTGTTTATATAAATCAGTGGTTTTTAATTTAACCTTTTTGGTGTAGCGGAACCCCAATGAAACATTCCAGGGAGTTTCCAGAGCAATTGGTTTATGATTATATTCGGTATCCTAAATTATATGTGAAATAACAATTTAACGTGGAACACCTGAAGGCCTCTAACATAACACTAGTGAACACACACACACACACCTATTGTATGATTATTTTAAACCGATGTAATTGATTGTATTTAACCAATATGCATATAATAAGATATACTCACGGATTTAAATGTACACTTGCGTAACCATGGTTGAAAACCACTCCTATAGATCAATTACGTTAAAATACATTATCTAACATCATCTTTCTAATGACCATGCTAGTGAAGTTTAACCTTCTATCTGCCAATTGTATCCAACACTAATACTATTCATTACCATTTTCTTTTCAAGGTGAGGGTTGCTCAACATACAATGCTCCAGTAACGAGTGGATACAAAATGAGGTTGCAAACGAAAGACGATGTACAAGTTCCTATTTCATATGAACACAAGAAAAATCAATCCGGAAAAACTCAGAGTAGGGCAAGAGAGAAACCAGCAATTTCAGGGTTGCTGGAACTGAGTTCTGCGGAGGTTTTAAGTAGTACTGCGCTTTCGTCAGCCTTACTTTTTGCTGGATATGATTTTAACAATAGACGAGGGAATAATCCAGTTAGCGTAACGAGGAGGACATTGTCTGATCCCGGAGAGCATGAAACGGCATCTAATAACGATATTGTAATTTCTGCTGACTCAGCAGAATCTAATAAAGAAAGTGAAAGTAGCACTACAAATACTGAATTAGCCCTTGCGTTGGGTAACATTCCGTCTTCAAAACCAAAACCCATCATGCAACCCGCAGTCATGTATCAAAAATCTGATTCGGAAAACGATAAAATATCTGTAATAACACAAGGAAGATTGCATGGTTCAAATTTGATCCATTTAGAAGCTGGGGAGCCTACAACTGTAAGAAAATGGTCTGAGAGTCAGTTTGTTGATTTCTTCGCATCTTCCATTGCTTATGGAGTAGTTGAAGCTGGGAAAGTAAAAGCGAAAGAAGAAGAAAGATGCCCGAGCAGGAATTGAATTTCAAATTCCTGGTTGCAAGTCACTAAAAGAGCAAAAGTTTCAGTCCACTAATAAAAAAAAATTTTGGTTGTTCTTCAATATTTTGTATCATGTATTATGCGGTGAATCAAGAGCAAATAGTAGCAATCAATGTCAAATCATATCACACTCTTCACAGTATATATTTTTAAGTAGTAATATTTCAAATTCGGTGCTTTTATTTTCAAATCATGAAATACATGAAAATATATATCATTTTGCACGAATACAATCATCGACGAATATGGTACACTTTTATACACGGTTTCTCTAATTCAAATCATATTCAATAAAGTATTGGGTAGGCTACCTCAATCATATTTTGTATATATTGTAATAATGAGACATTTAGTTTTTCCAACATTGTTAGTAGTTTTCTGAACATTATATATTGCAGATGACCAATTTGATAAGAGCCATAAAATATTTTCAAAATGCAGTATCGTTTTATACTTTATCATTGTTATTATTATTATGCATTAGTTTGTATGATGCAAAATATGTCTACATAAATATCGAGCCATTTGTTTTTAAAAAATCATGTTAAAAATCATATTGTATTTGAATTCCATATTAAGTAGAATTTGTATCTTTCTAGATATGCAAACGAAAAAATAAGTAACATTCTTGTGAAATGCAAAGTAAAAATAATCATCCGATGTCAAATGACACCTAGATGATGACTTTTTCGTAATCATGATCAAATAGTTTTTCAATATTCAATGATGCAACATTTTTTCTCTTAAACCTATACCAATCATGTGTCATTTTCTAGTCAAATATAGTTTAGTTTGTCGAATCGATTCTAAATCAATAATTTTGATAGTTAAACTTCTTGGGTTTAGGATATAATATAGAACACTTACGCTTTAGCACAGTTTGAAAAATGATCATTTTTTGAGCAATTGAAGTCTTTCAATATACCCTAAAAAAGCTTCGCTTGAAATTCTTAAAACATTTGAAGATAAAGAACCAACCAAATTTCAGTTTATATTAACGTTCCTACCTTTTGTAAATCAAGCTCGTAAAATACAAACACCGACTTCTCTGTATTCTTTGTTGAACAGGGATCAATTTAAAATATTTAGTTATTTCATATTCAAAATTATATTAGAGTGTATTCTGAATAGTAGATTTTCTGACTTCGGCCATTCCAGCTGTAACTACATCTAAATAATGCTGTTTGTGGTCATATACACAACGATGTGTTTAGCAGGTTGTTAGTCATCTGTTTACCAGGACATTGACACTTTTATATTGACACTTTTTGTGCTAATCCTTCATGCATGATACAGCAACGGCATAAAGAAATGTTGGTGCTGCTGGAAATATATTCATTTATATTGCACCCAGTTTCTGGTACTATTTTATATTATATAATACTTACTGATATATACTGTTTCCATTATTATTTAATTTTTTTTTTTTTGCTATTTTTATTGTTTTTTTGGGGCCTTGTACTTTTACACATATTTTTGCACTCTTCCAAATATTGCTTTTTGTCTTTTTTTTCTTATACATATTTCTTTTGTGTATAATGAGATGATGATAAAACAGGAAAGACTTCTTTCTTTGTATTGTTATGAAATAATTCTGAATGCTTTCCTCATTATGACATTCAAGTATTGTTCATCAACGCCCTTTTATTGTTAGTGTATGATATAATGTTCCATAGACAAAAACTTATGTATTTATTGGCATTGAATTGGAAGTTAATGCAAAATGCGACAAAATCGTGATCATTTTCAGGTCTTCGAAATTCCCTGTTGGTAATTCATAGCCATGTAATGCTTGTTGTTGAAATTTTCCATAAAATACATTTTATTTTGTCAAGTTATTTGGTAAGCTACCTTTGACTATTCTGTTGGAGTTAAAATCTACATCGACATTCGCACCTTAAGGTTGAATATTGGTTTACTTTGTAGAACAATATTACTGCTCACAATCACAAATATCACTTCTGGGATATTTTTGCATATAAAAAATTTAAAATGATGTTTTAATTACTGCCCCATTCTTGATGTTAAAGGTCTTCTGAGCGTAAGATCAAAGTCTTGAAGAGTTTACATTCTCTCATATTGTTTGCATTAATTGATTTGCTTTCTTGCCACATTTGTTAATGGGAAGTGTCTCCACTCTGAACAAGGCTTCTTTCAGGATTAATGGCAAATATTAAAATTTACAAATGTATACTAGTAAGCTAAAAATAATCACTTCAGTGCCTTACACAAGAAAAGAAAATCAAGTGAAATGCATATTTCTTGCCCTTGCAATATATATTGTTTTCAATTGTAATTTTATATCTTTATTTGTATTTCTTCTACTTGTTACTGCCCGCGAAGTATTTTGCACAATGCTTTATCCTTGCTCTTTTCGTTTGATTTTGTGTTATTGTTTTAATTTTGATTCTGATTTTTTTTTTATCCAACAGCAAAATTGCTTTAAAAATTGGCTGTATTTGTCACAACAATAATAAGTTATGTAGTACTCTATTATGAAACTTTCCACTTGTGTGAGGGCGTGTGATCTTGCTTCGATCAAATTTACATATTGTGTTAATTAACATGTGTTGAAGTATTTCATATTGGGGAATTACTGTAACAAAGAAGATAACATTCAAATTAAACCGCAGTTTGGGGAATATGTATTTGTATTTTGACTTTTTAGTTTGCACCATGAAGAATGGGATGCAATGGATATGCACTACTTTTGGAATTTCTATTTTCAATTATTTTTTTTCACGCTCTATAATGAATCAGCAAAGTGCTACGAATCCAGCATTTATTGAATAAACTGAACTTGAAAAAATTTTCAAGTTCGCAAACTGTAATTGTGTAGTTTATAAATTAGAAGAGAACATTATGGCAAAGGCTCTCTGTTTCAGGATACCACAAGGTTAAATACCATGGTGCTTGGCCTTCGGAAGTCCTTATACCAAGTGCACCATAAGGGTGATTGATGCCAGTGAAGTACATTGATTGCATTGCAGGTCATCTAAAAACATTAAAAGTGATACCAACCGTCAATGGGTTTTCGCCATCCACGAATATAAATGGGAAGGATAGTAGATCAACAACATTAGGGAAATGTGAAGGAAAATTAACTCTATATTGAGCTGTAAAGTGAATATTTTTTTTCCACTTATTGGATCGTTTTGCTTTATCGTTGTTGTTAAGCTAATAATATTGCTGTTGGAGCAGAGGCAATGCATAACAATAGATGTTATGTAATATCTATAGTTGGAGCGACTTTTTGTTGAAGGAATAGTCGTTTTTTCGCAGCTAATAAACCAATTGATGTCTAATTTTGAAGTCCGCCATGATACAAAAAATGACAACACACAGGACAAAAAGATGATATCGACGTCTTTGTTATAGTTACAACCAATGACAGCATAACCGTAAATATATACTACTACCGTATAACATATGTGATTTAAAACAACTCTGTATGATGCGTGCAACTGAAAATGGTTCGTTACTTTCATAGCAACAATATCAATATCCCAGATATTGTTTTGTCTTGAGTGGAGGTTTAGTTCTGCTGTAACGTCCAAAACAGAACAGCCATGTTTAGAAAAATAAGTCAAATAAACGTTACCGAGGAGGAAAGGTCGATTAGCACCAATAACCAAACATACAACGAAAAGCTCTTTCGGTAAAATTTTACGCCAACATTGGATAACTCTTCCATTCAATGAAACCCAACTCACACGAATCGCATAAATTTAAAAATACGTTACATGTTTTGTATAATCGTGGCATTTTTTGATACCGAATAATGGCGCAACATAACATCTCGCTGACACAAATTATGATACATAATGCCACAGGGGGAAAAATCGTTCGACCCGGAATAGTAAACAGACCTCCCATGAAAAAAAAGACCTTTCATGAGTTAGTTGTCGAGTCCGTGTTTTTCAGTTATTGACGGAGTGCTTCATTAAGTTTGTATTCTACTGCCAGTTTTTTATTGAATTAATTCTTTATACGGAAGCATCATGAGTGGAAAGACTAAACATCGACGTAGAGATATTCCAGTGGAAACTAGAAATCTTCCGCCTGTTCAAGACGGTAAGATTTTAAGTTAGGGAGTGGTTCGTGAAAACCAGGATACATTTTGTTCCGAGTCTGTTTTTACATTGATCACATTGGAAATTTCTACATCTTTATACTGGCTTTGTACTGTTTGTCAGACCAAAACCTTGAAATAACCTGAGAATAAATAGAATCTGAGAATAGCGTCATGACAACATGCTGTACCGGTAACAGGGTAATGGATGGTAAAGCTTATTTTGGTGTCCATTTCGCCATAACAAAATCTAGACTGCAGAAATAAGTCGAGCCTGAGAGTAGGCTATTAATTTGATTTAGTAATCATCTCGTTTCAATCGGAAAACTGTTCTCTGATCCCTGAATCCAGGAATCGGGAAACATTGTTATGCATACAAAAATCCTTGAAACAAATCTATTAAAAGTATTAATATACATTCCCAATAGACTATTTGGCAAGTTTTTGGGGTCTCGTGTAGTTTCGTACCTAACATACTTCTAGGGGGCGTAACATATGAATTTTTTGATATGTCAATCCTAACCCTTATCTGACTACGCCATCCAAAAATTACGTCACTACGACATCACAATCACGTCATACAGCTTGCCAAATATACGTACAATCGCCCGAAATGGCATTGGCGCCGACGCTAAAGAACTGACTGACGTTATCGATCTCTCTTCTATTGGAATCGTTGCGACGAGAGAAATAACTGTTCGATTTCGGGTGCTCGTTTGCGCATCTTGGATGGCAGTTCATATAGGTTGAAGGGTACTGTGACGTCGTAATGATGTAATTTTTGGATGGTGTAGTCAGGTGGGGGTTAGGATTGATACGTGAAAAAATTGTCATGCTACGCCCACCAGAAGTATGTTAGGTACGAAACTACATGAGACCCAGTTTTTGAATGAGAATTTTTTGGAATACTTTTCGTAATAAAATTTTCATTTTGGTCACTTGATATAGGACTGTCATATAAAAATGGGCTTAATTTACCATATGAAAATGTAAAAATTTGAAAATAGAATATTCCAACGTAACTCCCAATTCAGCAATTATTCACGATTTAGTATTCACTTTCTATGAATTTCCGATGATATTGAATTAACTTTTATCTATTTTTGTTTCAGCTGTGAGAGAGTACAGAGTGATAGAAGATGGAGCTTATGCATATCATCTGCAAAATGAAGAAAGTATGTCATATCAATTTGTGATCTTTATGTTTTTAATACTGATCCATGTCAGTTGTTAACAAATGTAATGATAACGATTCTAATATATAATTATGTTTGTCAATACTGGGAGGCATGAGTCATTGCAGTAGGATACAGTTCTTCGCTTCCAAGATTCCGGAAAAAAGCTATTTGTCTCTGTCTCTGGAATGGGGGCGTCTGGCACGACAGCAGAGGCGTCAGATTGTGCCATGCTTGTCTCGATTATAATCTTACGCTTACGTCGGCCGTCACATGAACAAAATGATGTTTTTTTGTTAAAAACTCTAGAATACAACTGTAAAAATTAGTTTATTTAGGTTAGATGCTCTTTGCCATATGCACGCCCAGACTGTCTGGTAAAGGAGGGATTTTTAAATTCATTCCTGTTATGTCTGCTATACTGACATATAATAAAGTATCATATCTCTTGGATTTTAAAATATTTATCTACTGTCCTTATATGCAAAACTTGTCAACAAAATTTATGCCTCATCTGATTCAAGATAATTAGATCTCAGTTCAATCTGGAATTAATCCAAGTGTAAAATCGCAGCATGAGTACTTGTTTATTAGGATAGGATTATTCTGATCAATCATGCTTCATTATTGGACACAAAGTTGGATCATTTTGTTATTATCATGTTGTTGTTGTTGACGGTATTCTTTTCCATGTTGTTGTCTTTGTTGTGAAAAAAACGCTTTTCTCTTCAATTACTGGACCAATTGCTTTTAAATTTTCATTGGTTATAGATTGTATTTTTTGCGAGAAGGCTATTTTATTCATTTCAAATATGTTTGTGGGGCTATGAGATTCATTTTACAATATAAATTTTGTGTGATGACGACTGATGACATCATCAAAATTAAAATTTTTGTAATAGTTGCGGTCTGAAGGGCATGGTACTGGTACTGGTACTGTGAAGGATTTCATATCTGTACTACTTTGTTTTGTCTTTTGTGTCCATATATTTGAACATCGCTCTCTTGTTTCTAATTATTGAATGAGTCAGAGAGTTGCTAAATGGATAAACATTACCCAGAATTCTAGCTATTTTTAATTTGTTTTTCATCCAATAAGAATTATGTTTTCTATTATCAGTTGAAAATCATTACTCACAAAATGTTAACATGCGAAGAACAGTTATGGAAGATATTAAACGAGCCAAGGAATTACAAGACGAGGAAGACAGAATTGCAAGAATCATGACCCTTGATGAGGAAAAGGAGGTGTAAGTGTTCAAAATTATATTTGGATGCTTTGCATGTTATTTTACAAGTATTGTTGAAAAACCTTTGACAGAACCGCAGATCTGCAAAAACCTAACATGGTCTTCTTGAATTATTTAGTAGGCTATGCATATTTTTACTTTGATAAATATGAAGTCTCTGATATGAATACTGATTTAAAAGAAATAGTCTTACTCAAGTATTATTCGCTGTGATCTTTGAGACGCTTGCATATACTATACTAACTTACATTTAAAATATTTTGCATTATATATATTCATTACTTGTAAGTTCAATCTCTTTAGTATTTTGTATGGTCTTTTCAGTAATTCCTGCCTATCCTTTTTTGTATTATTGCTGGAATTTACAGAATTTTCAGATTTATACCGTTTTATTACTGCAATTTGATAGAGATTATCATAGCTGAAACTATGTCTGTAACATTTGGTACCAAATTCATCATCATACTTGGGTTGCTCATTCCAAAATTCACCATATAGAAATTCACAAATCTTTCTTCTTACATAACATTACTTACATCATTGAACAGAAAACAAATGGATGAAGAATTGGCTGAAATAATTCAGGAAGAAATATTCAAGGAAAGTATACAAGAGAAACAGGAAAGAAAGGAAAGAGAAGAAAGAGATCAGGTTGTTACAATTCATTATCATAGTTTTCTCATTTTTTATCTATTAAGCAAAAATTTTGATAGCAAGAAAATAGGGCCACAGCTCAAATGGATTTTCAGTGCTGTTTTCGCTAAATGTAGAAAGATATTATTAAATAGTTTATTACCAAATTAAATTAACACGAATCCGAAGCCAAATCTCTTTATCTCTATCATAAATGGCAACTCAAATTAAAAGGAGTGCGCAGTATTGCATTTAAGTTTTATGAGATTGTAAATAGCCTAACACTGGTCTGACTAGTGATAGATTGCTTTATTGCTACTTTCGTAACCGTCACAAAAGCCGTCAAAAAGAAAATTATTTTGTCCACAGATTTCAATGTTGCGAAATCAAATTTTCTGAATTAAATTGAGACTGATGAACGTAGAAAATTTTATTTAAATGGAACTTTCTGGAATGTTTCTGGAATGGAATGAATGGAAATGTTTCTAGAAATATCCAATTTTGATTTCAACAAGATATTGATTAACAGTATACATAATTGTTCATACTACATTCTAAAAAATTATATTTTTAAAATTACTGTTATTCAGTGCCATTGTTGCAATAAAATTGTGATTTTGTGAAATGAATATAAACGAGTTAGTTCAAATGTTTCCATGTCATTAATTTGAATAATTTGATTAAACAAACTATGCTATGCACTAATTTGATTAGCATAGCTCAATTGGTCATTAAAATAATCTGCAGTATACCCAATCATAAACAACCTGTTTAACCTAAAACACTGATTCATAATATGATGGATATATTTTCTAGCTTATAAAAAAGAATGATAATAATTAAGTGTAAGATTTATAACGACTTACGAGAAGTGGGAAATTATAGACTTGCATATAGCTTTTTATTGGAATTTGTCTGCATAATCAATTATATTTTGACTTGAGATATAGATATTGGATCATAACGGAATGATCAATAAACTCTTTAGTTGTCTCATCGCCGGTAATGAGCAGATATATGTCAATCAGATTTTTAGATGACTTGAAAATTTTGTTTCCCAATAGTACGGAATGTAAACTGTTAATCTCAGTATAGATTATGTGGTTATTTTATTTTGTTACAAAATATTATCAGAGTTCTGTTAAAAAATAGTCTTGCTTCTTGCAACTCAATCTGCTTAAACACAACTAACCTATCATGTTCATGGCCTTTGTTAACTTTGGCTTTTCTATATTCATGTTAGAATTTCATGAACTACTACCATGGTATGATTGATTGAATTTGTAATGTCTAACATTAACCATCTTCCTGTTTCTAGGAACTGGCTTTATTGATGGAAGAAAAAGAAAGAAGAAGAGGTGGGCATGTTGTTTGTTCACTTCTTATTTGTAATTTTTTAAACTAATAGATTAGTAATTCTCTCAAATTATGGCTAATTGTTTTTGGTCCTTAGTCAGGATGCACACACAAATGCAGAGATATTCCTGATTCACAGTGTGAGAACGCTGATATAAGAAAACTGACAGGGAAGACATGGTATTGATTGGCCCCTCTAACGGTATGAAGCCAATAATGAGCTCACCCCAGAAGAAAATAAATAAACCGCAGAAGTCAGGCCTAAATTGGGGTTCAGAAAATATGGTGTTCAAAAGAATGTTCATATCTGAAAAATCAATATTTTTATTCATTGTAGTCTAATCTTAAACCTGTAAAAATAGCAAATCATTATTTATCTTGGTCTTCATACATTCCCAAATTTAAACTCATTGAATACACATTGACTTTGATGTTTCCTTGTTAACATAGCCCAATCAAGAACCTATTTGAAAATGTACTTCTATTATTATTATTTACATTGTTATAATAATAATATCCGAAAAACAAGTTGCTATCCATTTTGCTTCGGATTATTTAATTTAATATGCAAGACGATATCCAAAATCGAGTAACAATAATAGTTTTGCTGAACAGGGGTTAATTTTAGCTTTTTGTCTGCTTGATAAATTATAATTTTGGATACTTTCAATTTCATATCATTCAATTTAACTAAATTATTTTAAAATATTAAAGTATTAGTTAATTTTTTTTGAAAAACAATTCCATTATCTGAATCATTTTTAATTTTAAATATATCTTTAAATTAAAATTAATGGTTGTTTTATGATTTAACAATCACAAGAACGAAAAAAGCCACACCTAAAAATTGGTCATTCTCATATTTACATTACCATGGTCAGTCACCCGTAGATAAAAGCCTGACAATTTCAATTTGAACAGGAGAAAATATTCCATTAATCCATTAAAATGAATTCCGAAAATAGAATCTAGCCTAGTAAATTGGGAGTAATGGTATTATGGGCACACAAATTGGATGCTTTCTCATGTTACCTGCTTTATTGTTTTACACTGGAATAAACAACTTTTTGGTATGTCATTCAGGTGCACAATCAGGGGTATTGGGGCTGTAAAATCTTTTTGCAGTGGCCTAACTACCTCTAAAATGTAATAACTAATAACCCCCTCAAGTGGTAACCAAGCAAAATGTGTTTATACAAATAGTCATATGACCAGCAATACAGTACAATGTATAACAGAGCTATAGTACATGTTAGATTCGTCCCTATCTAAATAGTTTTAAATTTATAATTTTGCATTTCATCGAATTTATTTATACTTACCTAACAATATAGTTTATGCCTAATTTTACACTATAAAAGGTTTGATCAAACTTTTTGTTTTGCGAAATTGGCACTACTGCTGAAATTATGATTTATATTAAAACGTTTGTTTTTAACCTGTTTCGATATCTTTATATTTGATCATCATTGGAGCAAATTATGTTATATATATTTGAATACAATTTTCAGTCGATAATTCCAAAGTGCATGAAGAGAGAGATAAAAAATTAGCAGAAAGATTGCAAAATATGAAGATGACACCAACACCTCCTGGAAGCCGAGATCAACAAAGAATGAGACTCATGACGGACGAGGTAATTGAAATTTAATGTAAGCTTTGAAAGGTTTTTGGTTTCAACAGTAGCTCTAAATTTTTCAATATTGGAAAGGAATTCATTTATCAAGAATTTCATAAATTTGTTTTTTGAACAAAAATTTTTTTTGTTCTCGAATGAAAATTTTACACGCAAAAATATTATTCGGTGCCTTCTAATTTTTCTGGTATCAAAAGTAACAGTGTGTTGCAATTCAATGATGTTCAATACAAATCAATCATTTGATCCTGTGGTTTTCAAATTACAAAATGGAAACCTGGTAAAGATGTGGAAGAAGAGTTGACATTGACATTGGATTGCCAATTGTTACGGGGTGGCCACAAGATTTGAACCCAAGATATTGATCTGTGTTGCCATCATAGTTAAGTCTAACGCCTTAACCACTGGGCCACCGCGAACACAACTTAGAGTAAATTTTCAGTTTTAGCCATCCTTGGCTGTGATATTGTGATGGACACTGTACAATTTAATTTCTGCATTTCATATAGGAACTTGCAAAGCGATTGCAAGAAGAAGAAGATTTGAAATTAAAAAGAACAAAAGAAAGAAGTAAAGAATTAAAATCAGTTGTTGAATTGCAGGATGAAGAACTTGCCAAGTATGTTATTTGGAAAATTTTGTAATTTGGTAGCATATCAGAATGCCTTTTAACAAAATAATAAACTTTGTGGGCTCATGCATTTTCCTTACATAGCTAAACTATGTCTGTCTGAAGAAGTCTGACGAAACGTTACAGAAATACATTTACAGAATTATAAATATATATATAAAGGTTTCAAATTTTTAAATCAAACGCTTCACTTTTGAATGTATAAATTCAAGTTGAATCTTCGAAATTGAAATTCATAAAATAAAATTATGAGCTGAAAAAAATAGATTTTATTATTTGTATTAGGTTTTAGAAAGCTATAAATGTTAAAAAATAATAAGATGGTTAGGAGCTGGAGCCACTAAAATTTCTGGTAGCTCTGGCTCCAGCTCCATTTGAATATGGTAAGCTTGTCTCAAGCTCCAACAAAATGACACGGCCCCAGACACCAACTCTGGCTCCCAGCCAAGCCTTGGATCCAACAGTGCAAAAGCATAAAATAAAAATAAGTAGTTAGTCTCACAGAAACCTATTTGATAATAAATAAAGATCTTTTAAAATAAATTTTAAACAAATTTTTTTTACAGGATTTGAAAAATCGAATGCACTCAATTGCGTGTTTGGTAAAGATAATTTTATTGGAGAAAAACATTTTATGTCTTTAAAATTAAAATTATTCATGATTCAGATATATTCATGGAAAAGAAATAGAAGCTGCTGAAATGAAATTTAGCAAAGAAAGACAGAAAAGAAAATCTAAAACGAAGGTATGGAGTTAAACAACTTGATAAATATCTACAAATGCATTCAATGTTTTGCCGTTTATGCTTATAATATTCATTAATAATACAGATGAATAAGGAATTTGAGATCAATCAAATGTTTGAAATATATATATTTCATAATTCAGTACTATATATAAAAAATTATGCGACTCTCTGAAATTACTCCGTTTGTTCCATAAAGTTTTGAATTTTCCGAAACTTGAAGAAATAAATTTTTTCACAGTACTCAACTACAGTGGTTAGGCACATCTTCTACATAAAGAAATATAATCAAATTCATGTAATTTCCCTTTTCACTAAATTAAGTCATAAGACCAATAAATTATCGTTCTTTATATGAAAGATGTTATTGTAGAACACCATCAACTTCACAATTCATTTCCTATCCAAAAAAGACTGTATAAATATTGGAAATACAGCTTAATTTAACCAGTTTCGATACCTAAGTGTGTATGTATGCTTTCAGTGAATTATTTGCTTTTGTTCTCAGGGCAAATGGGATAATGAACCACTTTACTATGATGACAATGTCAATCCACCAGTTTATCAAGAATTTCCTCCAAAAGGACAATTAGAAAAATCTCATCGACCACATGCTAATGGTGATCACCCTCCACATTATAGCAGATCAGAAAATAACAGAACTAGTGGCGATCAACATTCCCGTCGACACGATCACCATAGAGATGGCAAACGACCTGAAAGACCCCCACCACCAAAGTTTTCAGACTCCCACAACACAGAAATTAAAATACCATTGGATGATAGCCAGAGACGTCAGTGTGAAAGGTAATCCCTTACCTATAGTTGATGAATTATTTTTAAAAGATTCGGAAAGGCAGTGAACAGAATAAAAATATGTCATTATAATGATGTTTTCCGGAATTGAACAATACTATTGAACTGTGGATTTGTCTCATTATCTTCATACCATTGCTTCGATAAATTACTATGCGGGTAGTCATATCATATGAACATGGGTGATTTATGACAGGGGTGTACGGCCAGATACAAATAACTGGGTAAAACTGTGGGCCGTGCCTTTATTCAACATAGACTTTCTAGTAGTTGCAGCCACAAAAATTTAGGCTATTAATCTTATGACATTTGTTGTTCACTTTGCACAAGCTAGCTGTTAGGACATTGTAATGTCAAATGCATAGACAATACAATGGACTCGGGTATATTCTTTGCATCACAATAGGATTGGAATAACAAGCACGTACTTGTTACACCTGCCGCATAGCATTTAATATTGGCATTCTTTCGCGGACAGCACAATTTTTTGTTGAGGGCCGCATTTGCCCTGCGGACCAAAGGTTGTGGGGATGGACTCTCGTATTCTGACCTGAACTTAAACTAAAAATCTCTAGCCTTTGCTACAGTATACAGGATTGAGTTTGATAAATGTCCATATTGTTTTGCAATTTCAGAATAGAGAGAGAAACTCACAGTCGATCATCCAGAGATCATGACAAGCACTCGTCTTCTTATGATCGACATAGAGCATCTAATAGCAAACATGGATCAAAAGAATCTCAAGATAGTTTGGATAAAGATCGATCATACAATGATAGACATCGGCATGATAGAGAAAGATATAATGGTTGAATATTTATACGTATATTCATTATGTGAAACAGTTTTCTGTGCAAATATTTGTGTACTTTTGTGGTGTGTGTACCAAGTTAGGGTTAGACCATAATTTTATTCGGTTGAATTCGGGCACTGTCTGTGTCAGCCAAGTATATATACCCATAGGTTTCAGTCCCTTTACACAACTCGATGTAAAGTGGAAAAACAAAATTAGTTCTTCATGTTGGTACACACACTTCTGGAGCACCAATATTTGTCAGTGGTTTTGGTGGAATTCACACATGACACCAAGTACTCCAAGAAACCCAATATTGACCGCATATATTTTGGCATGCACTACTCTACAGCCCTCATTGATATACATTTGAAATTATCTTTATTTGAATATTTTATCCAAATGAATTGTTTGGAGTAATCATGGTGGAACAACCTGACGGAGATAGTCAACTTCTGAGATTGTTTTCTTCGTTCTGAATTTATTTTCAATAGTTTCAAATATATACAAACAGCTTCCTTTGATAATTTTCCGAAGCTGTTTATGAAAATAATTTTCGGATTCAATAATCATTTCAGCAAATAGTTTTCTAGACAATATCAGCTTGATGGAATTTCCTGCTAGTAATCTGTAACTTCAGCAAATTACATTTTTTTGACTGAACCTGCGGAGCTCGATATGAATATACCTGGTGACAATCATCTGAAATTGATGCAATTTCTACCAATAAAATATACCTAATCATCTTTCAAGGTCACTCAAGTTCCAACCGTCAGAGCGAAGAAAGGCGACATCACCAGTCATCATCATCACATGACGATAGGCGTTATCACAGTTCATCATCCAATGATGACCTCCGTCGGTCAGACAATCATCCTGATAGCAGAAGACAGAGATCATCACCAAGAGATCAGGAAACAAAACCTGTTCCAAGACCTCGGGGTCACATGACACACTCTCAGTCAATGCCTGATCCTGGTAGGAAGTAAGAATCAATAGTCGCTACTAACCTTAGTTGCTTTTTATAGTGTTAACCTGCCTTTTTATAATGAGTGGTTCCTGCTGGACTTATTTATATATTGAACTTTATCGTTCGCTTCATACTTATTGTGTGTGCATGGTGTGTTCTCTCTATATTCCTTTGACACTGATATATTGTCATCTGTCATGTATTCATTTTCTATGAAGTATGAAATTGCAGCAATTTAAGTATTCGTTAAATGCAAACAATGCAATAGCAAGTAATGCTAATACTGCATTATTTGGTAATTTAGATTTCAATTCATGTATTTTCATTAATAATACCAGGTGACCCCAAAAACGGAACCCATAAACTTCATAATAACTTTCAGGAAAATGAAGAAATTTATTTGATACACTTGAAGTTTTTGTAGGATTGTACCTACAAGTTTCAGTAATGTACGACATACAAATTTAATATTTTCTCTAGAATATGTTCCGAATGACCTTGACAGCGTTGTAGGCAATCTTGCATGTTGAAGAAGGGTTGTTAAATTTGTTTTCATAATTCAGACAGAGAAGATGAAATTCAATATAGTGAAAGTTTTGCTAAATTATTAACTGAAGAAGAATTATGGAATCAAAATAATAATTTATCTCAACATAAAGGATCAAGGAAAAAGAAAGGAAAGGAAAAAGACTGCAAACAACAATGACAATATTTTAAAAATTGCCTTCTTTTATTATTTCTATAACTATGTATATTTTGGTATTCTTCACTGCTGTCTTTTATGATTTTGAATTCCATATATGTTGTCATATCTGACTTTATACCTTTTTTTGTAAGTATGACTCGAATCCTGAATATGTTTGAGGCGAATATTATCTGGTACACTGATTAATTTATATCATTTGAATTCTAAAAAAACAACCTTTTCATACAAGCTCAAAGCGTCAATATATTGGTCATTCACTCCTTTGTGAGGTGGCTATTTCATTGTCAGGCATCAGGTTATATCAACAAATGATCATTTGCTATTCAGCATCTCCTGTGGCATATTTCTGCAGCCATATAGGAATACAAACTCATCAAGCTGATAGATTTCATTTAAAATTCATTTTTGCTTATTAAATTACTATCTAAATTTCTAATACTATAAAATCAATGTGTATTGTTTTGATCAAAAATGATATTGAATCATTTTTATCATTGACATTCCTTAATCACTTTTCATTATGCTATTTAGTTTGTGAATTTTGCACTGGGCAGAATCTTTTTTGGATCAGAATTTTTTTTGTATTGTTGATTGCATATGATTTCAGCAGTTTTTTTTATATAAATCAATAAATGAATTTTCTATATTTTGTATTACGTGAATTTCATTTTGAATGTTAACGAATTTTGTAACAATGCCTTCATATACAATCTGTATTGAATTAACTGTAGCAACACTTGATACAATGATAACCAAGTTTCCTATAAATTGTTGATTCATTTTTCCTAGTCTGGTACATGGTATACAAACTTAATTCTGTAGCAATTACCGGTATGTATTCATAAAAATTGCAACATCAAACCCATACTAAAAATGTTTTGCTTCGAGTGACCTGTGTTTTCACCAAAGTGAAATACGAGAATATCGGTCAAAGACCGAAGACTTATCGATCGAAAGTTAGGGGATCCCCCAAAAAGGCGAATATGCAAAATTTGGAGCGGAAACATACTCGCTTTCGTGAGATATCGCGTGTATCTAACAGACAAACAAACAACCAAATACCAAAATCAACATACTTACCTATCTTAAGATCGATAAGTAACAAGAGCATAATCGTGTTTTTGTCAGAATTTTATGATACTGTAACAAACCTCAATTGATTACCGTAAAAATCTGGTTAACTGTATGTTTTTTATTTGTTTCATTTGGAGTTTATTAGAATTGCTTCTAATACCCCAAAACAAAGTTATCACGAAATATTACATTGCAAATAGCCCAATAGAAAAGCAATGTTAACTGCCTTATTTCCATATTTTATTCGTTATCATGTAATCACACATATATTTATCACTTATATTTGACTAATACACTAACAACTTGCCATATTGCTCTTATCTATCATTTATTATTACATTGTACAGCTTGCAAACGTTGCATTGAATTATATTGTACCATCTTTACTTATTGTTGTTATATTTTGATACTGTATAATAATAGTAATATCGTGGTTTTTGATTGCAGAAAGTAATAGAAAGCCTAATAAACAACCTGTTTGCTTATAAGCTGCTTTGCCATGTTTGATTAAAAATACTTTCTTTCATACTATAAATATAATAGTATGCTTAAATGACATATTCAATACCCCAATTGTGAATTCATCAATGTTACCAAATATGTTGTTTGTGTGAATTCTTATTTACAATCCTGCTTATGACATACACAGGATGTTTTCTTGATAAATCCCACACAGAACTGTGCCTGATATGCTTCAACAGCAATTGTCGATTGTTCATATGGGTATTCCACATGAATATGAAACAACTATTTGCCTAGATTTGATAGCACCATATGTTTAACGCCTTGTATTGGCACTATCTTAATTATTTCTGGTGTTGGTGGTAGTGCTTGAGGTTTTCTCGGTTACTATTTGTTTTTTACTTGTCTTTGATTTGTATTTGCACTTTTTTGCTTTAGTAATAAATATCCCTTGTTGCATATTGATATTTTTTTTATTTTTCGTAAGTTTACGTTTGTTTCGCAATCCCGTTTGACTACTATGTTCTGAACCCACTTCTCATAAAAATCGGCTTTCCTCTCCCCCGGGATAAACATGTAAATCCTCATGCTGCCTAGTGGCGCAGCATCGGAAGATACCGGTAGTGAAGCTGAAAGATTATTAGGCTCGGCGTTGTGGCTCATCGTGCTAAGCCTTAGGAATACGCTCCATCGCACCTCTGATTACCCTGCGTGGGTTCGCAGGTTTGAATAATTATGTGCCAGAGGATTGCTTGGCTTCTCGAGGCAGTGGGGTGGTTCACGTAACAACTGGTCGGTTACGGCTATCTCCACCATCAAGTCCATGCATCTGAAGCAAATACCTGGTTAACTTGTTCCATACACAACATGGACTGGTAACCGGTCGTGGTTCGCCATATGATTAAGCCGTTTTATCGGCTCTCCTCTGGGATAGATATGCAAATTGTAATAGTCATGGTAAGATAAGGATGTTCAAGGACCGTCGTCTTCGAACTTTCACGACACTGCGCATTTTGAAAACACAAAGCGATCAAATTCTACTAAAAGAAAAGTACAAGCTTAACAGGAAAACGATATTTTGTGATTTTCTGTTTATTACATAATATACATAGTAAAATCTAAAATGAACTACTTATAACGTAGTTACGTATTCATGCAACTTTGTTTGATCTATTTAATTATTGTTTGTTCTCCTTTGTGCGCTTCCCTCTTTTTTGTGGTGACGAACGTTTTCCCTTTCTTCGTTTTGTCTTTCGGCACTTCTTGAGAAGTTTCGGTATCTGCTTGGTATGCTTTCGTTGCTTGTGTTTAATGACTAGATCTTCCGGGCGAATTTCTATTCCTTCATCAGTAATGGTATCACCGGCGATCACGTAAGATCCCTTTTTGAATATCTTTGAACATCGGCGACAGGCGATTCTTATTTGCGTGCTTGATACAGAAGGCAACGATCCTTGCTTGAAAGGTTTTATCAAATCGATGGTAGCAATGTTCTGGGTGCGCAGGGTATTGTCATTCAGACGAACCACGACAACTGTAAAATTTGAATAATATTAGTTCCATTTATCCATGAAATGTTTAAAACGTAACGGTAGCCCAAAACACTCAAGAGAAATTGTCGCACTGCTAAGTGAATGAAAAAAACAATATTCTTCCAGGGGCTAAAACACGAAAAATTTCCAGCTTTATTCTCGTTTTTGTGCTTTTCATCGAAGACCGAGCAGCCATCAGTTTTGTAACTGAATCACTGACACTGCACACGACACTGACTAAGATTTGAAAGATAAGTCACCGCCGACCGTGTAAGGTTAATTACTTATGGATTGCAGTTGAAAATTCGCATGCTTGATACCAGTAATGTGTGGTTAACTTTAAACTCCACTAAAGACACATACGGTAGTTTGCTGAACAAATGCGCGCCTTCGTTTTGATCTTGGGTGGGCAGCTCACTGGACACTCGAAAGCGGCGCTTGTGGTTGTTATAATCGGCGTTGTAGTAGGTTTCATAGTCGAAGTTGTAGACACAGTTGTTGTAGATGAAGTAGTTGTAGTAGTTCTTGTTTCTGAGAATGTATTGAAAATTGGGTACTTTCGTAGTATGTATACCAGGTTATGGTTAAGCGATAATTTTATTCCGATTTTTCCTATTTAATTCTATTACGAGTTCGCGGACTGCTTGTGTTAGACAAGTGAATATACCCCCTTACCATAGGCTTCCGTACCCTTACACAACTTGATGTAAAGTAGGCGAACAAAATTAGTTACCTCTGTCCTCTATATTGGTACACCTAAATCTGGAGCGCCGTAAATTGTTGATATATATATATATATATAAATAAATGAATTGAGTTAGTCTGGGAGGTGAGAAAAAACTCACCAGTATTCGATTTCAGTCTCTTTTTGGCCCCATAACTAGCAGAGAACCCAGTTGCAAATCCACTTGTGTCCGAAACGAAAGTGACAAACAACTCGTTTCCTGGTGATGTTATTCTTGATGGAATGTCGTCTGAGCCACCACAGAATCTTCCAATGAATCTGAAAATAGATATTATTATAGCATAGTGCAAAAACAAGGCCACAAAATTTCATAACGGCGGAATATTAGTGATATTACCTACGCAATACGAACAAGAGAGCGATGCTCAAATATAAGGACACGAAAGCCAAAACAATTTATTTTCACCCACAATTCTCTCAAAGATCATATCCTGAACGAAGCTGGAGGTATGTAGCAGGCACAGTAACTTACCATTACCTGTATCAGGGTACCGGTACCCGGACTGTCCTAGCTTTTCCAGGACCTGTGACGATGATGATGCTTCCAGTCTCAACGTGAATTGAAATACCAAATGATCGGAGTCTAAACTGTATCTAAAATCTAAACTGTATTTCACAATACCGGTTGCGGTCGCAGAACCGCCAAAGTAATTTTTATTATGAACCTATTGATTGTTTTGTCATTGTGTTGTTGTTCTTATGCTTGTTAGTATTTTTTTTTCTGTTGTTTTGAAAAAATCGCCTTCATCATTACCTACTGAACCAACCAAACAAATTTACAGTAGTTCAAGGTTGTAATATTTTATTTGTTTTTGATAAATAAAAGTAATACCTTCCTAGCGACAACAACAATCTTTAACTACAAAAAGTTCCAAAGCAATTGGTCCAGTATTTAATGAGAAAGGCGATCTAATTCACTCACTTGGTTTTCTCTGAATGAGACCAGCCTCCATAGATCACAAGTGCATCATATTTGCACCCAATTGACTTCTCAATGTCAAAATCATCAATTGACATAAGCACGATTTTGTCTTCATCCACTCGAATATGCCAAGAACAAGTGACCGGACCTGGGTAGTTTGATTTGGGATAGTTCGGACTGTGAAATGAACCTTCTGCGCCTTTCAGAAGTCCGCCACAAGAACCTTCAGCTAAAAACATGTAAGTATTATTCAATTGATACTATTTGGTGACATTTTTGGTTGCCCCATAAAAGAATTCAGCAGTAGTTAATACAAGAAAACGATGCTCAAATATATATATGGATACTAAGGTCAAATGTCTAAAAAGGTATTCCAAGAATTAAAATAAAGCAGAAAATTTTGCGATAAATACCGGACACAGCAGCCTAGGACTTCAAAAATAATAAAAAAATAAAGTAGCCTACTTCCCTTCTGCAACTCCTAATATGGCAGTTGTGTCATGATTGTTAGAATTTGTTTATCAGTAGATGATATTCTTCTTGTTTCAACTACCGCTCGAAGGATAATATTTTTGTCAAAAATTGTTTAGATGAGATAAATTATGAGCAACATGACGAAATGTCGACCAAGGTATATTCGTCTCCATTTACTATTACATTAAACTTTCGAATTTTATTTCTCGTGACCCATGGTGACGACGATTCGAAATATTGCCGGTAAGTGCAATCGTGTCCGGAACTAAAGTAAAGAAATTTAAACTTACTTGCCAATTCTGGAACAGCAGATACAAAATAGCCATAAAATCCTTTCCTCCCTGTACTAGCATCACTGTCCATTGATATTAGCATTTTATTAGAAGTTGATATTTGTTGTCCTGGTCGAAATGGTCCGCAAAATTTGCCCAACATAGGATGATCGACAGTCGGCCCATTATATATGGAAACTCTGTCAAATTTGCAGTTCAGACTCTTTTCTACGTCAAAATACCTTCGTAAATACAAATATTTTGAAAATTATTTGAGTGAAGGAGAATCATAATAACACGAATCATATTTATAATTTTACGAATAACTTTGAATTTCGAGAAATTCACATTCAGTTAATGAACTTTGGAATATATTTCTATATTCCATTGCCAAATGTTTCCTTCCAAATTGCTTTCAAAAAATAAATAACTCGTCATTGATTATTCTTGTGTATTGCATATATTAATATTACCCGCACACCAACCATATCTATACAGCTTGACAGTTGTGCTATGTCTTACTTAGCCATATCGGGCTAAACATTCCAGGCATGCAATCTTATTTCAATGACGTGAACTTCGTCCATTAGGGAACCCGATCAATACTATGGACGTGATATTACGGGCAACCCTACATCCATTAGTGGTATTTTCATATAACTTTTACCACAGAAACTCTTTGATCGTTACCGGCGAACTCGACCAAATCCCAAGAGTGACGGAAACATTGCTAACTTTTAAAGTAAGTCTATAATCTGTTTCAAGCGAGTATACTCACTTGCACATTTTCAAAAAATGATTTCACTTTCAAATTAAAATACGCGAGAACAAATATATTAACTTATTTTATACGCAACGTTTATTTTTCAAGAACGTAGCAGATGATCGTAATGCGATGTGCGTTTGCTTCTTTCTGTTGACGACCCTTTGAAATATGCCCACAATATCGTGCAAGAAGCAACAAGCCATAATTCCAAGTCGGTTTGGATTACTGATTTTAAAAGTGCATTCTATGTAAATCTAAACGATTAATTCAATTCTGTTTTCATTGTTTTGAAATATATTTATGCTAGCTCGTCTATTTTTAAATATAGTAGGTCGGGGGAGAACGGACAGGCGGGGTAATGCGGACACCTTTTTTCGATTTGAGCTTACAGCGACACCATAAGAGCTACGGCCGCGGTTTCACTGCTCGTTTGTTACGTAACTAAGCGTAATTTCGCTGAAGCGAATACGTCGCCATTGCAGCAAATCTCGTCAACATGCTTGCGATTTTCTGACAGGTTCGATTTTGAAGGGGCGAAAAAGTGGGTATTTACTATCATATTGAGTTTCAACGTCAATTGTGGGACCAAAACACCAAGTATAAGGTAATAAACATTTTTTTGCTTTTTTACTTTACCTCATGAGGTTTTAAGGGCGTTTGCATAGTCTGACTGCGCAGATGATTGCCTGTGGGAGCTCGAAATAAACTTCATGACGTCATGACAATTAGGGGGGTGATTTTTTTTATTTTCCATCGTAGGCTCTGTAGTTATGCAATCACAAAATAAAAAGTAGTCAGATTTATACACTATCTGAGTGGTGTTTATTTGGGATATAATTTGTTTCATTTCAGTTTACCAGTCCAAAACAATATGCTTTTTTGTTTTTAGTGTCCATTTCACCCCAAAAGGGACACTGTCTCAGATTTTGAATTGTTGTTTGGGAAATATGCCTCGTAAATGGAAGAGAACTAGTAAAAGATGCCAATGGATGGAAGAAAACATGAAAAAAGCAATTGAAATGGTACAAAGCGGAGGTAACTCTTGACTGCAGCACGTACATATTCGGTTCCAAGAGGCTACACTTCGCCGGCATGTTTATCAAACACTGAAGAAGGGCCCCGGGATCACGGAGTCTAGGTTGTTCTCCTACCTTTGGGCCAGAATGAAAAGGATCTTTTGCAACATATCCTCGAATTTGAAAAGAGAGGCTTCCCATTAACAGTTAAAGACATTCGAAAGTTGGCTTATGAATTTGCAATGGAGAACAAAATTCCTAATAAATTTTCAAAATCTTCTAAAATGGCTGGAAAAGACTGGTGGAGTGGCTTTCGGGAACGATACGGAAACTTGATAACTATACGAAAGCCGCAGCCTCTGTCAATTCAAAGAGCAATTCATTTAAACAAGCCCACAGTCAATAAATACTTTGACCTACTGGAGGCAGTAATGAAGGAAATTCACTTTTCAATTCGCCAGCACGAATTTACAATATGGACGAAACTGGATTAAGCCTTGTACCAGGCGTAAAGAACATTGTCGGTTCAAAAGGGGCTCGATATTCAAGCCAAGTGACAAGTGGCGAACGAGGCCAAATACAAACTGTTATATTAGCTGTTAATGCAGCAGGAAATTATGTTCCACCGATGATAATTTATAAGGGTAAGCGAGCAAATCCTGTATTAGAAAAAGGACTTCCTCCTTCTTCCAAAGTATGCTACAGTGAATCTGGCTACATAAACAAAGAGTTGTTCCTTGAATGGATAATGCATTTTTGCTCACACGTCAACTCCAGCTCTGGAAAAGTACTTCTTATACTTGATGGGCATGGATCACACACACGAAGTGACAAAGTTCTTCAATACGCTTGTGCTAATCATGTGGAAATTGTCAGCCTACCTCCGCACACCAGCCACTATCTCCAGCCACTCGACAAAGTTCACTACGGTCCGCTCAAAGATCATTACAGTGAAGCTGTCAGAATACACTTACGTAACAACCCTGGAACTGGAGTATCAAGAGCGGACTTCCCTCATCTATTCACAAAGGCGTATATGAAGATATGTACACTACAAAATGCTGTGTCATCTTTCAGGTCCACTGGAATTTTTCCCTTAGATAGAGAGGCTATTCCAGACCATGCATTCATTCCAGCAGAAACTACACATCAAATTTTAGTAAACCTCGATTTAGGAGAGCCTAGCAACATCACTTCCCAACCACCGCTCAACATTCCCAGCTCGTCGACAAGTAATAATTTTGTTGCATGTGGTTTGCAGCAAGCTGACAATGATTCACCCTGTTGCAGTAAAACTATTCAACAAACATCAGGTCCCAAGTTTAGGCAGCAAATCTCTACAGAACAACAGAGTAGTTCACCAGCATCTCCAGAGGATAGTTTATTGGATTCGAGTGACACTTCATTTGAAGAGATTCTGCCCTTTCCGAAGGCCCCACCTCGATTAAAACCACCTCGTAAGAAAGCGATTATAACTGGTATAAGAATACTCACCAGTGAAGGATATAGGAAAGAACTAGCAGCTCTAGAAAATAAAGAGGAATCTGGTATTATAACTAAGAAAAAAGCAAAGGCAGTGTCCAAAAAAATAGAGGCCAGCAGTTTGAATGAACCTCATGTGAGCAAGGTCAAAGTAGGAAGAATTATAAACAGGAAAGATTCTGCCAAGGCTATTAGAAATAGTGATGTTTGTGGGTTTTGTGAAGGCAATTTTTACGATGATGAGGAAGATGAGGGGTGGATACAATGTCAGCAATGCCTCAGATGGTTTCATGACATTTGTGCTGGTGTTTATGGCAGAAACGTTCAAGCTTTCACATGTGAGGAATGCCAGTAATAATTTACATATAAATAACTTGCCTGTTTCATTAGTTTAATTTTGTTATGTTATTCATGGTAAAGGACATTCAGTTGATCAACTAAAGTTTGTGCATGCATTAGCAAAGCTTTTGTTCAGTTGCAAGTCATGCCTGGATGATTGATAAGTTTTCATGTCTGGTGGGGTAATATGAACATCATTGCTCGCCCCCACTGTAATGCTTGAGGCTTATTATTTATGATTTTTTTTAGGCGTTTTAGACGCATTCAAATAGGTCGGTAGTGTCTTCAATTAATTTTGTTTAATGTTCGTTTTACCCATCCATGTGTCCGTTTTACCCGAATAAATTTTTTTGGGGAAAAATGCTCATATCTAACAAAATATTAGGCGGGTTGCCGAAATCGACAGTGGGCTGTAGGGCACATTCAAATTGGTTATTTTAATACGGGAGTCACGCTTCTATATGGTACGGATTACGAGAAATTAGGATTTTGCTATAGTGGTGTCCGTATTTGACGGGCCTACTATATGGCCAACAAAATCGGTTTTAATTTTAAATTGTTTTTCATCTTTCGATTATTCTTTCCCGTCAATAAATTACGTTCAATGAAGTAGGGGTATTAAATAGTGTAATACACATTTGTAAATAATGTAAGTAATGTACATTTATCAAGATAGTTTGGGTATATTAGCCATTTTTCAAAATTATCGTGAAATATAGTGATGTTTATTCCATTTTATTTATTAATTTTTAATGAATGTTTGGGTTTTCTTAATTTAATTGAGTAAATAAATGAGTAGTAACAACGAATAAATAAATAAAATTAGACCTTAATATTTACGTATCATACATCAAACCTTCCAGCAATTTTTAAAAAAATCGAAGGTAACTCGATCTTACCCGAATGTAAATGTTACAATTCGATCTTCTTCAACTTCTATATTCCATTCGCAATGTAAATTGTTTGGATAAACTGTTGTGAAGTCCGGACTCATTATCACACCTTGGCCTTCTCTAATTGTTTGGTTGCATTCTTGGAATACACTGTAAAAATAAATATTCACAATGATAGTTGCTGATTATAAATTGAAAATACTGAATGACCAAAACTAGTAATTTCAATATTACCATTCCCCAATTAATTCAATTTCAAAGCTATCACCACTTAAAATGGCTAACGTGTTAGCGTAAATATATGGACGTCGCAAAATGGAAATTTCAAGTTGCAATCCCGAGCTGTACAATGATCATCCTTTTCCCACGGGGAGAAGCAAAGCCATAGCATTAATAATATTGAATGGATTTTTGCATGACGCGGTTTTCGGTGCAAACGAGCAAAGCACTTCATAAATGCCCTTCAAGCTTGTCTTATCTTTCCGAAATTATTCTATCTAGGCATCAAACTGTATTAGAAACTCTATTAGAGGTAAATTGTGCTTTACGGGAAAAAGAAAACACATTTCAAAATGTTTTAACAATAATTGAGTTCCAAATCTCACCTCGTATATTCGTCTTGTGCATTTACTCTTACAGACAGGAGTATGCAAAAAGATATCACAGATGCTGCTCTGATATAATACATTGTGTACTATTTCATGCATCAAGTTATATATATATATATATGTGGCAAATTCTGTGAATATATTATCAAAAATATTAATATTAATTAATACCTCACTGTACTATATGCAACGGAAAATTATCCTGTCCTGAACTGACTTCGTCTTAATTTGGCAACTGTACTTTCAAATGTAAACCACGCCAAAATATTAAACTCTGACTTCTTCGAAACTTCCGATCGGTGAATGCGAGCTACATGCGAATGCTCACAGTTTGACTGCCTATGACAAAAAGGTATGTCGCCCAAATGTCTGACCTAATCATTCTATTTTTAATGGGTTGCCGCTAAAATGCATTTGTCTTCGTTCTCCCCTAATAGACAGTGAAGTTTGAAGATTGCCAACCACTTCCTTGCCAACCGCCACATGTCGGAGAATTTGTTTTGACAACTAAAATAATTGCGGCATGAATACTAAGGCCTGTCACTTAGATTAAAAATGTAAAAATTATATAAATTTCACATTGATTCAACGTAATCACTGGGTTCCTTTAGAGACGGCTTTCGCACACAATATTTCAAGTGCGCGACTAATCAATTATTAAACTTTTTTTTAACTTGATAAGAAAAAAGAAAAAAAGCATCCGCAATGGCTCCGTGATTTAATTAATAGTTCATCCGAAGTGTCATCCATCGCTTTGATGTGTATACCGCAGGGCGTATACGACTGGAATACATCTTGAGCAACAGCATAAGGTCCATTCCCCGACAAAGTAAATTCCAAACGCTCACGGCATGTGTGATTTACGTCGGCGTCTTAGTCTGGAATACATAACGTCACTCGGTGAGAAATTTTCGGTTGTACAAGCGCGGTTTAATTCTGGTCATCGATTGAATTTGTCAACTATGGAGTGAGTGTTCAACACCACGGTCAGTTGAATTAAGTGTACTCCATTTTGATCACGCTAGATCCAGTATGCATTTGTCTGAATCTTGGAATACGTGCTTGTTGAAATATTACCCGTTATAATTCTGAGGATTTATGGAGTTGCTGATATATTTGGGAATCACGTAATAGTCTACGCCTATGACTCATATCAACCAATGTTATTTTTAACATCTTCCAAACATTTAGTTGTTTCTGTGTCTCAAACCAGTTTCCGCAGACTAAAATCTATCTGAAAAGTCTGTTTTTTTCTTTCGAATTTAACCTTACAGTGAAAGTTCCCGACCCAACGTGTTAAAGAGTGGTACTTTAAAACACCGGATATATGAAAAAGCAATTAGCACTTTATTGGCAAAGGGGCTGACTCTGACTCCCTGTACCAAAATACGCAAATTTTGCATGTGCGAGAGATGTGAGATGCTTCCGACATATCCCTATCTAACTAACATAGGTCTCTGAACTAAAGTAGCCTAATATTTTTAAACTGGTACACTTTTTGCAGTCTAAGCAATTCCACGTGTTTCTTCTCGACAAAATTTATTATCCAATAAAAACATATCCTCTTACCAATATCTTAATTTCAAAGCGGCACTCGTGTTGTGAACAACGCGAAGAATTCCATACATTCCCAGTTTTAATCAGGTTTCCTATTTCAATGCATACTCGTATTGGTATCGAATATAAGTTACATTCTTTGGTTTTCTGTGTAATTGAAACCAAAATTGACAACTCAAAATCTTAACTTCAATATTAATACTGGACGGTTTCCTATCAGTCTTTGGCGTGGATTCTTCTTAAGCTACCTCACCACACTGTATTGCATACGTCATATGAAAGGAATATTTTGTAATATTCACGTGCTGCGCCCGATCCATTCAATTGGATTTGTTCTCTACCAAGGTTATAATCACATATGGGAATAAACAGGTGCATTTTTTGAATGTCATTCATTTGTAGCACGTTACGTCAAAACAATGACTCGCTTGGGTGCAGAAAAGTAATTCATATAAAATCGTGCCAAATTTCGAATACATGCCATTGAAATCTTTTTTTTTTTCAATTAGCAATCGCATTCATATTTATTGTTTTGAAGTGAAATTATACGTGAAATATTATTCGGCATAAATCGCAACTTTTCTACAAAAATGCTGCTATGATACTTGTATTTGACGAAAATGTAACAGTAATCGTAGTCTACTATTCTATTATCACCTCCTATTTCCTGTAGTTTGCATACCGTTACCATTGCCCTTTGTCCTCTTATAATTACTACTCTGCGGCGCATACCATGTATCGTCATCAGCTCATAAAATTGAGCAAAATGTATGAATTAAAAGGAGCAAAAGTAAAAATCGTTAAACTCGTTGCAGCATCTTGATTGCATCACAAAATATGTAGATTTTCTCAAAAACTAAATTTAATTGTGCCATGTAACGCTTACCTTACGTCGCCGAAGTTGCTACCGGTACAAAGAATAATGCGACTTCGTATATATATATGTAACGAGATGATCTTCTTCTAATGGATTTTCATATTCGAAAGTGAACTTTCTTTCTGCATTTCGATCAGTATATTATGCGATGGCTTTGAATAACTCAGGTCAATGAATGTGTTTGCTATTTCTCATCCTCGCAAACTTCTTTCAGTTGATGCGCCATAAACTTGACACGAACGCGATCTTATTCAATAGTCAATAGATGTCGCCATTGGGCTGAAACTTGAAAACAATTAAATGTTGATGGTACTCACGGCATGGCGCCAGAAATGTGAAGCATCGTTCAGTATACTTGATTGACTTTAGCCAGCCTAGGTATAACTGCATTATTTTTATCAGGTCAGAAATCTCAAGAGATTACGCTTCGGTCTGCTGATTATTTGAGAATTGTATGAGGATGCCAATCGTCAGTAATGACCAGGACTTAATAGTTTGCGCCGGAGGTGTGCAGTAACTTCTTGCAATCTAATGAGAAAGTTGGTAATTCTGCTGCTACTTGTTGAAAACTACCCGGGTTTTGGCTGAATTTCGCTTTGCTGTATGTTTCGACAAAACTAAATATTGCGTTACAATTTACAATCTAACTCATTTTGGTGTATTTTTTCGCAAGTTCGTACATGCACGCAGTTCGCCAGTTTGAAGAAACATTGTTTTACGTGTATAATATTAAGGGTATAAGCCATTTTGATCAATTTCTTCGTATACAAATTTGTATGATTCAGTCTTTATGTCTTCACAGTTACAAGTAACATTTTGTATATAAATAAAAAGGTCAAAAGCGGTTCACGTAACGCCAAAAACTTTAAAGATAGGGAATATCTAAATTTATTTCACAGCCATTGAATGCGCTTAAACGTAGCTGTGATAATTCGCAAATAATCACACTTATGTCTGCTAACACTCAACGTTAATTTATAGCACGCGGATAACGAATTGTTCACTTCAATTTAATAGCTATTGAGTCATTAATCTAAATACGCCGATAACGGGCAATCGATTTATTTTATGCGAATCTAAGAGGATATAGCACAATGCAGCGTTAATAGAAATCAGAATTTGGCAAGGAGCAGCAGGGAAGCAATTATGGCGATAAGTAATAGGAAGCTATCTTAGTATATTAAATATACATTATGTATTAAAATTTTTGTAAATTCACAGAAGCGCGACAGTCGTAAGGTAAATCACAAATTTTTTTGTTGAATCTCTAAGTGTCACTAGGTATTGTTCATTGGGAATAGACAAACCCCAAAAGTTGGAATGGGGTAAAGTTTTTTCGTGTATTTATTTGAATAGTGGAATAATTGCAAACTTTTAAGATTCAGTCAAATATGTATGCAATACAAATACTTTCTCATATCAAATTTTGAATAGGGTAAAATAAATCTCTGCTATAGGGCACGTTTTGCGTCTAAAATTTGTTTCTGTCTAAACACGATACGACAACATGCCTCCTATTTCATCTGATAATCGTCGATTCCGTATCTTCTTTAAAATCAATTACATGTCGGAATGTTTATTTTTTCAATGATGTTTTGTCGTATAAATGTAATTGAAAGTATACAGAAGGGAATGCCAGTTACAAAATTATATCGAAAAAGATGGAAATTCAAAATGTACTCCTTTAACTTGAGTTGACACAAATTGGCCGTCTAACTTTTCGGAATTAATGGTGGATGTGGGTGACCAGGTGTGGGTAAAGTGCCTATTCGCGTGAAGAACCTTTGGTTTCTAACTTTGAAAATTTTTTGTCAACTTCTTTTATTTTACGTTTTTCCCGTATTTTCGGTGACAGTGAAAGGTTTATGCATAATCATGGCACAACTCCTACTTAGGGTTTGCGATGGTAATTAATCATATAATTTATTGCATAATTTATTCATTGTATAATCGTACCAACCGTCGACTAATTTTTGACAACATGTGATTTCTCGTTTGATTAATGTTTATGAATTACTAGGCTTTTAATGCTGCTAATGCGTGTTGTCCTAATTTATATTCTGGCATATGATAATGAACATGCTCGTGATCGATCCTTCAAATTTTTACATGGTATCGCCCTAGAAAGTTAACTTCTAGCAAGGGTTAGAAAGGTATATATTGATACGAGTTTTCGTTTGCAAAAATTTGCTCTGAGTATATCTGAACTGCTTGATGGACCGACGAGGGGTTAAGCGCTTCGTCACTCGGCTACTTTTTAATCGGAAAGTATTTTCCGAAATTGTGCAGCCAATTATTTAATACACACAACTTTCAGGTAAAAAGACGGAAGGATCTGCTTCGTTGAATAGCTGTACAATCATAAAAATCTGATCTGTTTTGAGTTGGTTAATGTATTTACCCAGCCGACGCCTAATCTAGGATTTCCGCCAAACATCATTATCTTTCTATCGTCATGTTTGTGCCATGGCACGATTGATGCTATAATTTAGGCATGTTGGAAAACTTCATTTGATGCACGTTTGCGATGACTTCAGATTTGATTAAGGATTTTTCATGGGAATATTTATTGCCGGCAATGACAAAAACAACAACATAAAGGAGTCCTATTTAAGTTCTGTTGCCCCCCCCCCCCCCCCTCTTACGTAACCCACGTTTTCCGGCCTCTATCCAGGCCCGCCAGCTATTATTGTCTAATTTGGCAATTGGAAATTTCAGAACCCCTCCCCCACCCCATTCGAAAATTCCTGGATACGCCTCTGCTATCACCAGAGTTTGATTTGCTTAATTTTGACGAGTGTGCCATAATACACATAATATTTGCCTAATAGCTCTTCCAGCTCTTTCTCTAAAAAATAAAAGTTACCAATATTTTCGTTGCTATCTTTACATCTTGAAAGCAGCGTATGTGCCTTTTGTGTATTTCTCGAGTTGACGTGTCACAATATCGTTAAGACTTTATAGTACAATTGTCGCATAAAATGTAATGGCTTATGTCTCTCAGCACACCTCCTTCAATTTCCCGTAAAAGCCATTTCAATTAAATCTGTACATTTGCCAATTGAATAACAAAAGAAATACCACATAGTCAAGATTCAATATATACTGATCGATACTTCACTAATAAGACGTTTATCCACCGCAGATCTCTTGTCGAACTTGGAATTTTCAATTACAGTGCTGTTATTATTTCAAGAACTGCCTTGCGAATTTAAATCAAAAATAGGCGACTGCGTTAGAAATTGAAATTCAATACTGTATGTTTGTTTTATATTCGATACATTTCGCAGACATTTTATTTAATTACGTTAGATAAATAACAGGCAAATATGACGAGTGGCGTTAAATCTAGTTGGAGAAGTACTGCTTCTGCTTTGTGCGTTCTAGCAGCAATCGGAATTACTTTTGGATTTTTATATGGTAAGAAGATTTTTTTAATGCTGTAGAATATGTTCATTATAATTAGGAATCATATTAATATCAAATTGCAATTTTGAACGTATCGAGTTTGTTGTCTAGAGCCTTGACACGTAGATCTGTAGTAGTCTGTCTAACAGCCTGTCTGGAAAATTTTGAATTTAGTCAGACTAAACATTAGAGAATAACATTCTTGAAAGTGTGATGCATGAACAAAAATGATTATGCTGTCCTGGCTTTCCAATCCAGAATAATTCCGTGCGCCCAAATCATTGTTGGTTGGTAAGGATGCTTCTGTTCGTAGCCTTAAAGAACTAACGAGTTAAATTCCATCAGCCTACTTTAGTCCTTAAGTAATAAAATCAATCAACAAACAACAGTTCAATAGTTCAAGTTTTATCTAATCAAGGCATACGCATTACTTTATAATGATTTTGACCAGACATATAAAAAGACTGATGTTAAATATTTCTTAAGTTATTCATTATAGATTATATTTAAATAAAGTGTTAATTATAATAACACGATGTGCGCACGAGTTGAACTTTTTGATTTTGGCTTTAAGTCATAATTGATCAATACTCTCTATATTTTTATGTCAGCGCTGAGACGAATGTTCAGTCCAAATACAAGGTACTAGCCTTTAATTGACTTTTAAAATTATTTATGACAGTCGAATATATAATATTTTATTTCGGTTCTGAATTTGACGAAAGCAAAATATATTTTTGTTCACACCATCCTAATTGACAACTTAGTTGAAAGCGGAGCCGCCTCAAGATGCGCAATTTTTAATTTTGATGACGTCATCGGAAACAAAAAGGATCCCATAGAGGCGGGAAATGCAATCTTTAAACCACTGAAAATTTCAAAGCAATTGGTCCAGTAGTTGAACGGATAGGCTATATTTTCATAACAATATAAAAAAATAAATCAACATAGCCAAAAAGTTTAAAGTTTTCATTAATGGCGCCATTCATTTGCTCGAGTGTTATACTGGGGGTTTGTGTAGCTTCGGATAAATTCCTATGTAGATATGGGCTACAAGAACCTTAACGTCGTGATAGACAGTACAGATGTGCCTAAACAAATTTCGAATCTATTGTCAAACCTTTCTTGAAGTAACGTCTGTTGGGCCGTTAATAATTTATAACAATTTATTCGGATTGGTCCGATTTACAGACCCTCAGTCAGACGTTCATGTAACTACCATTAAATATTAATGAGAATCTATCTTGGTTTTGAAGTCAAATCATCGACTGTGAAAATGAAAAATGAAAATTTATTTGAGAACCGGTATTCTCAACTATATTAAAAAGTATTCTGAAAATATACCCAAAAAAACTACGGTAATTCATAGACTTTAGCTAATATATAGTATATTTAAAGTGTATAAATACACGAATATTTCACGTTAAATTTACGATTTGATAAGATTAAGTCGACTTTACAAGCGGAAAATTAAATTGTTCCAACACAATCCCTAAAGAAAGTACACGCGCTACCAATTTTACGGTATTTTGCGTAATTTATTGTGCCCGCAGCAATATTTACTTTGAAGGCCTTTGTGATAAAATTGCAAAAGAAATTACTATAATTGAATTGTAAGGTGACCAACCGTGCTAAAACAAGTCTTCTTAAGTTAACCGAAGCCAAACAAAGTTACCGTAATGCTAGATTAAATGTCCGAATAACTTTCCAAAGAATAAATTATCGTACTGAGTATGGGACCAAGAACCAGAACGACAAGGAGGTAAAAAATTCTCAATTTTCATTTTGTATGTGCTTACTGCTTACGCCACCTTTTTAGCAAGCTCATTAAACCATAAAGATTCCTGTTTTAACCATTCCTTTGTTGAGCCCTTAGCGTTAGCCAATGAAGTGCAATGTTGTTAGCATTGACGATCAATTCCTCATTTGAGGATATTTTGCTGTAGGCATTTAATTTGTAATACTGTATGACTAAAATTTGAAATCCAATCTCGGTTGAGTTTGCAGAAATGTGTTATTTGCTCCAATGAGTCACAAGTGAATACGATCTATCTGACAAAAAAAACATTTCTGGGGTTACCGGCACATATTTCCCAACAAACATGAGAGAGCTGCTAGTGTTGTTTTGAATCGATGAATACTAAATTTAGGCGTTACAAATGTCAAACAAATTGGTCGATATTTTTACCAATGCCAGTTTGTATTAATAATCATTTTGCATATCCGCATATACACGACATATATCTATAACACGTTCAACAATGCAATATGGCCATTACAATGTGTCAGTATATAGGCAGAAGAAATAGACTGGCAGTCTATTATCGGCGACTCAGATCACTCGAATATTGAAATCTTTTCATAAACCAATATCTGACGAAGGCGCTCCATCGACCCTTTTCGTCAAGTAGGTCTGAGGTTTGAAGGGTGTGTAGCGATAAAAGCCGTCATGATATATAACTGGATAGTCCTTTGGTAGAAACTTTTGCAATAAGATAAAGCTCTTGACAACTGGTTTATATACTTCATGTTTTCACCAGCTGGTCGGTTGATGAGGTAAGTATGTGTAACGGAGCCAGTAAGGTACATCGGCCGGGAAGTTTGGATTTAGAGCTCCTAGACCTAGATCGCAATAATATATTATTTCAAATGTATTTGTGACATTTTTATGCACAAGCGTATGCTTCTCGCTTTAGAGTTTAAAAAGGTAAGATCTTTCTAAACCGTCCCATTTCCAGTTTCCGCCACAGAAGCCACTCGATATTAATCTCGTTCTGTCTTAAAATGCGGCTTGTGTTTTCCATTTTATTCATTGTGTTCTTCTATTACTACATGTCATGTTAGTTGTAAACGCAAATGAGTATTTCCTTACTTAGTGTGACGCATAAGACCATTTAATTATGTTTCAGTAATGGAATATTTGACACTGTCCGGTAAGAACACTTGTACGCAGACGCAAGGACAGCGTGAAACCTTTAAGTGCTTGGCGAAGCTAGCAGAAGATCTAACGACTTCCGTAACTGACGTCAATCGAGTGCGTGAGCCAATAAATGAGACGCAACAGACGCAAATCTGCAGGTAATTAGTTTATCATTTTGTCACCAAGGTGCTAATTCCGTTTGAATTCACCCGAAATGTCACCATTTGAGTAAATTATATTGAATTTAACAGTTTTAGATTTCCGAAATATATATTGGCGTAACCGACACATGGTTTCCAACTAATAAGCATCCATCTTGAACAATTAACTTGTTTGGCACTCCCATGTCATGCACACCAAACGAATAGCTGGTTAACTATTCTCATGGGCTGGCGAGACGTGCTTTGCCGTATGATTCAGTCGTTTTATCGGCTTTCCCTCTTCTGAGATATAAATAAGAAATTCCTATACTCCACCTAAACCGATAACCGGGCCGTAGTCCTATATACTGAGCTCCTTTTTCTGCTCGCCTTTGGGTAAACATAATCAATTCCATTACACTTTGAGCGGGAAGATATTATTCGAAAAACAACGCTTGTTTTTGCTCTAGAGACATACAATCCAGCGTTGTGATATATCTTTATAAGTAAGGCGAAGTTACAAGAACCTATTTAAGAGTAAAAGAATCTCATTCAAATATATATTGACTCAAACCCAAAAATTAATGAATAAAAAATTGTCTTTCAGATCTTGGTCAAATTATTTTGATTGTAATCGGGATATTCGTGAGAAGTGTGGAAAGATTTACAATTCCGAATTTCGGTTCACGAACATTTCATCAAGAATTTCATTTTGTTCTTTCAATACAACTGAAATAGGGGTGACGTTATGATGTGATTGACAAGCGCCAACTTCCAGCGAGAAGTGATCTATTGTTAAGTCAGTATGTCCAAACGTCTAACTTGACGAAAACTGTTGCCGTACCGGGACATAATGAGAAAATTAAAATTAACGAGGATGGCATTTGATAATGAAAACGTGGCTTGACGTCATTTGTGGACTTGGCATTGAGTATACATGTACGTCATGCCATCTGTTCAATATAACTCGTCTGTCATGCTGTCATTCAATCACCTGGAAGATATTAAGCACCACCGGTTATATTTACGTGGTTTGAGATATTCAATCGGGGCACGGGCAAAGTAAAACTGTAGTTAGATTAACAACAATTTAATAGTAAATCGATTTCTGTATCCACCTTTGCCTAGTCTTGTAGCTATTGATATATGCTATGTTTGTAATACGATATGAATTGGCTACGCGTGATAGACGCTGTTTTCCATCGAATCTTGCTCGATTAAGGATGAGAAGAATTTAAATTTGGTCTCTGAAATAAAATAAATTGAAATCTATGTAAAACCGGCAATATATTTTTAGGTTAAACAACAACCATTCCACTGCGAAAATGTTAATTAATTTATTTCCGAATTAATATTTAATTAATTACCAATCGACGTAGAACATAATACTTTTAAATGCGTTCATATTTCGGTATCTTGAAAATATTGAACATAAATATCTGACCATGTTTTTGTTTCGTTGTCGCGTTTTGTCGGCAAATAGTAATGTTTTCCATTTTGTGATATGTCTTATATTAGAAATACTTCATAATTCTGATTATGAAAAATCATGATTATTTTTTGAATTATGAACATTATTTGTTTTTGACTTTTAATATATTTTGAGATCAGACTATAAGATTTCACATGCGGGTCACATGCGGCCCGCAGAAGAGTTTCGAGTGGCCCACGCAGTATTTTTCGAAATTAAATAAACTAAACTTAACTCGATGTCTCCCACAAATTTGAGACACAATTGACACGTCCCATAAGAAATTAGGTAAATTATTATTAAAAAAATTATTTCTCGTCGTCCAAATGCGCGAGAGACACGACTAAAGGAAAATTTTGGTGACATCGCTTTCAATATGGACGATTTGTCTATTTCAGCATGTTGTATTCAACCTTCCTTTACAACGAGCGGTGAATTTTATACAATACAGAGTAAGGTGTGTTTCGTAATTTTGGTTTGTTCGTATCAACCATCCACATTCAAATATCGGTTCTCCTTGTCGAGCATGTACCAGATCTTGCGTTCTGGTCGACATCGATGTTTTTCATATTTCTCGAAGAGCCGCGAATTTTGCTCAACAATATCGAAAGCTATGATGCGATCATTGGTCGAGGGAAATTAAAGGAATAAATTTACAACCCAAATTTAATTCATTATGATTACTATCTTTAGTGCAGGCTTTGATCATCCTTATCGCCAATAAGTACAATATCTTTGAATCGTGTGTATGATATTTTTGCGTTAAATAAAATTTCTGAAATTTATTCACTGCGTGAAAATGCGTGTTCAGATATTCGCAATAGCTTTGTGCAATCCAAGCGTTTGATTCAGCGACGCGAGTATGCGGCCCGCAATGAGTTTCCTCATTTGAAAGTGGCCCGCGGCACAAAAAAGTTTTAGACGATAAAGCATGAATTTCCTTTTCAGCTACATATTGCATAATATGCTGGTGGGTGATGTATTTTTATTGGGTTTCTCCCACAAGTCCTACTTGTTCTACCCCACACTTGCTCCAGACCGGTCCCAATTGTATGAATACAACACCGTATGCAAACATTCTACCCGAGTAATATATCTATCCCTCTTCTGTCATAACCAGTAGGAGTTATCGCTCCCTCCCCTGTCCCTACCAAAATAATTTTATTGTATTGATGATTTGTATTGATAATTTTGGTTGACAAAATAATAAATATCTTTCTCTCTCTCTCTCTCTCTATCACGCACAGTTATCACTTGTCCCACAAAATAATGTTACCCCAACTCAGAGCAGTAAGAGATGAGTGCGGGACAAATATGAAGAAAGTGTGGTAAAAATGGGTCAAGTGAAAATGAAATGATGCAGAAGATGATAGAACACGAAATATTTTTATATGCATCTATTAATCTATCTTATTTAGAAAAAAAAACTCGAAATTAACCATATTTTCAAGTCGTACCTATTTTAAAACAATTTAAATAGAAGAAACAAACAGTTTATACGCAATTCTCTTGATAATTGAAGGGTATAATTAGATACGACTCCAAAAGGATAAACTATATGCCATTTATATTGTTTAAAAGGAATTAACCTATTGGTTGATCCGTAAAACTGTTGCAGGAAAAATCACATTTTTTTCAATTATTGTACCAATCGCCTCAAGCTCGCTTCTAAAGGCTATCACTAATGTTTTTTAAATTAAATATTATTTTTGGGATAGTTATTTTAGCCACAGTTTGTTGGCTTTGAGAAATAAAAATACGTCACCACTTCTATATTCAATCAAAACACAATCTGCGGGATTTCCATGCCCACACTCGATTTGCTATACATTCGTATAACAATAAACCTACAATTAATCCAGCATAGCTGTAAATGGATTATTAAACCAGTATTATGGTATTTTTCGTTACATGAAAACATTTTGACGGCTTCCATTGTTACTCAATTTCGAAGTTTATTGATGTGACAAGCGTACACAGTTAAAGCTGATAAGCTAAAATAATCACATTGTATTTTAATGAATAATTTAGTAGGTGTTGTCAGACACAAAAGCGATCAGTGAAAGTCAACAAAGTCCGAAACTTTCATCTTTCCTGGTTTAAAATAATTATTATATACATAAAGATCCGATAATCTCATATATGATAAACCATTGACTTAATCAATACTTTCATTCGTTTTTTCTTCAATTTCTAATTTTAGATCTCTCTAGCTCACAGAACGGTCTCCCTAAACGTTACGATTAACCCGCGTCGGAACTTCTCATCCCTGCATCAACCTTGAGCATATAATGAGTTATACACACAGACTAGTAGTTTTCACCACGACCCACTTGGCATGGTCAATTTTTTTTTTGCGACCCACACGAATAAAAATAAAATAAAATTTAATAGAACAGAAAAAAATTTGAAAAATAATTGACATATGATTTAATGAGACCAATGTGCTTGCATATCCTCGCACAAATGATCGAATCTTGCCTCTAATTCGGTGATGGAAGGTCTCTGTACTGGTGACTGTACATTTGAACCCATGGGTATATCCACGGGTTCAATCTATATGCGGGTGCTAAAACCCATGGGTTAGGGTTAGTATGGGTTTAACTATCCGTGAAACAGAAAAAATTCCATAGGTGCAATAGCATACAGGTGCAATTGCCATGGGTTCAAATGTACGTGGGTTCAAATGTAATGGAACCCTCTGTACTGGTTACAAATCTATCATATTTCATCGATATTTTGTTTTATTAACTTAATTTAGTGCCGAAAAAAGATTTTTCCGACGCGACCTTTTGGGGGTGTCGGGACCACCAGTTTGAAGAGCCCCGACCTTGACTAATCCAAGATTAGGCATTTTTTACCAAACTTGAATTGCTTTAAATTGTGGACTTATTTCAATAAGTAACAGCTCCATTTTCGAAAACAAAGCACATAATACCATTCCCGTAAATATGTTAAAAAGTAGGCTATGTCACTAAATACGAGTATATATATCTAGATTTCGGTTCTGCATAACAAATTGTTTTCTACGACTCTTATTATTCGCTACGAACAAGGCGCTGTACATGACCCCATTGACATATAAGATGCTACTATTTATATGAAGAATCAAATCTTTTGGGTTTGACATTACCTACCAAATTTATTACAACCTGGGTGCCTGGGAATTGAACTCGAAATGTGTAATCTGGGATGCCAATACAGTAAGTATGGCCGCAGGTACATCGCGCCCAATTCTCCAGATAGATAAGTATTTTGTACCTTGCCTATAGGGTTGATTCAAATCGGATTATGGCTCGTAATGCGTACCTTGTGGCGTTCGAGTTCGTTGCTATCCTTGTGATCAAGCGAATTCTTGAAGTTTGCGGTACCGGTAATTTACTGTGACAGACTGCACACCCGTACTACTTTATTTTAACTTCCGTGTCCATATATTTGAACATCGCTCTCCTGTTATTAATTATTTCACTATAGGTTGCGTTGAATACGTCTGAGGAAATATATGTCCAGGCCAAAATGAATTGTACCACATCGGTCGCGCTCATTTCATGGTTCGTACCAACCGAATTTTGAATGGAAAGGTTGCAATAACTTGATACATTAAAGATATGTAATCCAAACTGTGCGACAGGAATCTAATCGCGAAAACATCAGAATATAAATAACAAGAGAGCTATGCTCAAATACATGGACACGTAGAGTCACATAATTTTGATGACGTCATAGCGAAAAAAAAAGTAATAGCCTTCTGGAGAAAATTTTTATCTTTAACCACTGAAAATTTCAAAGCAATTGGTCCAGTATTCGAAGAGAAAAGCGACTTTTCAAAAACGTGTCAAAGAACAAGAACAACAACATAATATTGAAACGATCGTTATGTCCACTACGTGTCCAATAAATGATTATGTGGGGGGTCCCGGCAAAGTCATAATAACTGGGGCACCAAGGGCCTATTCGAGCAGGACTTTGAAAACGCTATGCTTGACTAGGGTTGCCATACCGTCCGGAAAATTCCAGACATGTCCGGAATTTAGGGTTAAATTTTGCGTCCGGGAAGAATTTAAAAAATGCTCAAATGTCCGGAATCCGGAATTTTACTGCATCTGCAATCGTACTGTGCACAGTGCTAATACAGAACCTTGTTATTTTGTACCGTGCGCATATTTCTCACTACGAGGTCATGAAAATAGTCATGCACTGTCCGGAATTTTGCTTTTTCAAATATGGTGACCCTATGCTTGACTAATCACTAATAAGGCGCTCCATTTTATATACTGTATATGTATGGATATTAGCATGTTTTATCTACTCTGTTGCAATAATATAATGCATTTTGGTGACCGTAATTTTTGTACTTTTGCGTCGGTTCACAAATGTTGACGTCATTGTCACGGCTCACTTTGCGACATAATTTTGCCTATGACTCGAGACAACCTTGGAAAGTCCTCGCTACTGTACTTGGATGTAGTACATACACTACCGGTACTCCGCAGCTGATCTAACGATCAAACCATCTCTCTATGTGACATCGAGTTATACCGATAGACTACCGATTGATTATACAGATAGATACGGTACCGCTGATAAAAGTAGCTAAACAGGGCTGATTTTTACAGATTACAGACATTAAAATGCCAGGATAACACATTGGACGGGGAAACCCGTGTAGTGAACGGATAGAGATGGTTGCGTTTCATCGGGAATATGAAGATATCCTTTCCATACAATCTCTTCACAGAAAAAACCCCACATAAAGTAGGAAAACTTTTAGCGTTTTTATTTGAATCATTAATAGTAAGAATAATAACAATAGCAACAAAAGACCAAGATTAGTCAAAAATTCTACGTTGGAAAAAGGGCGGCAGAAATATTGAACAAAAAAGAGCAGTTAGAAAGCGAAAGCGACCGTGTATCAAATAAAATCACGCAAAATCGGAGAAAAATTGATAAAAACACGAGAAATGAACCGCAAAATCAACATTTAACAATAAATATATACTTTTTCTCGTTTTTCACGACAGAACAAAATCGGAAGACGTAACTTGAATTACCTTGTGTTATAAAACGAATCGAGTATGACACAACGACTTAAAGGCTGTTGTATACAAACTGACAAACATTATACGAAAATTAGACTAACAACTCGAAGACCAGGATTTTTAAGGCAATTATAACGTAAGAATACAATAAAAAACAACAATAATAATTCATCTTTCAACCTTATATAACAACACGTCGACGACAACTGAAATATTAGATCAAGGATCGAAAATCACGACTATATAAACGAGGTTGTCTCGAAAATATCTAGCCCACTTGCATAAATCTCACTTCATACAAATACTCAAACCTTTTTTCAAGTAATTTATCAACCATAACCTAGAAAACAGCATAAATTCCACTTCATATGCTTATTTCAACCATTTTTCATACAATATATATCTAAGTGTTTCAAAGTGGGACGCGGACATTTTTGAGACACTGCTGTAAACGGAACTATCGAACGAAATCTTCTAGAAATGAAAAAAAATAATTTGTGCTGTTCTACTGAGCAAAGCATCCTAGAGTATTTTCAATATACGCGTGCAGATATCGTTTTTGATTTGAGAGGGTTTTGAACTGTGGAATGCATTGAGAAATATCAAATTTACCTGGAGAACAATATTATTTTCTTTAAGGCATCTTCCTAAAAATGATACTGAATTTGCCCATATGCTTTTTTAGGCGATTTGGGGAAAATTTAAAAATTACGGACACTGGACTTCAAAACTTCAAAAAAAGATGCCCGAAAATTTGATATAGAATTTTGACCTAGAAGTTCTAGACTAGAATCATCTATTGACATATATGAACAACAGATAACCCGTTTCAAAATGTGGTGATATATCTATGGCCATATGCATTAGCAAGAGTAGATAATCATCACCATGGAAAATTTTTTTTTTTTTTCGAATAGGAATTTATGGAATGTAATACGATATGGATAGCCTACAACTAATAAAAACTACGGTGTAACAACTCGTAACGATTTCAGATATACGTAATGGATGCTTATTTATTGATAATCAACACGAAGGATATATGGAGGTTTTGTAATTTGGGAATGGTTATTGGTAAAATACCAGACGATATAAAAAAGGAGAGAATTATAGGAAAAAAGTTTCATTCGGAATGAGAGAATAATGACGTCACCTATCTTACCAATGTGAAGACGGCAGTCAAAACAAAAATAATTTCAGGATAAATTAAACGGATTCATGAAAAACTCATGATTCGGAACAAAATTAACATGGAAAAAAAAATTAAACTAAAAAAATTTCATCAAAAAATTACAAGACTATTTGCTATCACAAAAAACTTTGCCATTATTAGAGGTTGAAAAGCGCTCATTATTTTGCAAAATATGTAAATATTTTTCTTTTTTTGTCAAACATATTGGATAATGCTTAACCATAAATAACTCTTTTGTGGGAAACTTCCAATTATAACTGAAAAGATCACCGATTATCAGAACACATAGAAACATATAACAAAATAACCAATCATGATTGTTATAACGATAAGGCCACATATGAGCAATACTGCATAATGCTAAATTACCATCGATATGATTTCTAAATGCATACTATTCCGCAGAAATGTCTTAAACGAACGGTTCCTTCGAACAACTAATGTTATAATAATTTCATTTAAATATGGTTAGTCGTTTTTTCCAAATACATCATTTTAAATATTTTTCATAGTTTCATATAGAAAAAAAAAAGCACCCAACAAAAATACTGTCGGTGTTTAACATTAAAATGAAAATTACAAGATTTGGCGAATATATATGTAAGAACAATCAAATGAGGTTATTTTTATTTCTCGCTTTTTTAGGTTCGACTAGCACTTGATCTTTCTACGTTTGCTCAATTTAAGTATAAAAAGTTCGGATAATTTTCAATCTAAAAAAAACATGTAAAATATATCAGCATTTTCCGAAGCAAAGTTTTGAACAATCAATCTATCCTTTTTTCTACAATATATATGTGGAAAAATATTTTTTAATCATGTCCACCAAACGTTTGGTATAAACAGAAATTCATTGTTTTTATGGCCAAGTCAGTTGGGTGAAAACGGACTGACATTCTGTCTATGGCCATTCATCGGTCCCTAATAAAACTGAACAAGCTGGACTGGCCGTACATTGAATAAGTCCTATCAACAAGATAGCAATAGCAAATAAATTTCAAAGAAAAGAAAACATACTTTTAGATAGTATGAGAAGCTGAGATAATTAGCCTAATTACTAAGAAATAAAAACAATTGAATGTTATTTTTCAACAAAAGTGTCTGCTTAGACAGAGCCTTGTTCGAAGAAAAAGTCATAAACAACCGACGTATAAAAAAACTTTGCTTATAACCATTCCAATGCAACACAGTCTTTAACAATTACAATTGTATATATCCACATTCTCCACTCTCCCTGATTTGTGCATAATAACACATCATTCATCGTCTCTCAAAATATCCCATTCGTTTGCTTTCATTCTTTCAAATCATATTTGTAGAAGAGGCATAACGAAGTCCATGTCTTACACTGTGCTTGTCATGGTGGTTGCGACTTGTTCGAGACGTTGCGCGAGTCTTTGAGCTCTCGCTGCGTGGTCCTCGTTGAGCGATTCTATAATTTCCGTGCTAAATCTTTGAACATATAAGTAGAGTTCTGTTAGGGCTGCCTGGGCGGTTGCTTCATTCACTGTGTAACCCTGTTATAAATGGAAAGGAAAGAATAAAAATTTCAAACTATTAAAATAGATGAAACAGTCACTGTTCTCCGAATCAGAAACACTAGCAAGGTTCATAAAATAAGATTTAAACGGATTCGATCTTAACATAATTTCAGTATTGAAAAATCCATCTTACCCTGGATTCTTCTAGCAAGAAATATTCCATATCTTGACGACCAAGTGGATCCATCCCTGAGATTTCTTCATAGTAACTGGAATATACAAAAACATACATGTAATTTAAATATATATAGGTATATATATATGGCATTGGAAATATAAAGCACAAAATGAAATTCAGTTCAGGCTTTTGATGAAAAGTGTTCTATATTGAAATTTTTTAACATGCCTTACAGCAGAGAAGTAAAAATGAAAAACAAGCCGGAAGATGCCCAGGATCTTCGTGGATACTTGAGGCCCCATATACATGCAAAATTGCAGACCAAAAACGGCACCTCACTACGAAACTGCCAGTACATTTTGGGCGCCGAGCGTCTTGTTAGCATCTTTGTTAGAGCCGTATACTGTGCTTATTTATTTGCAAAGGGTATCGTTATCGGAATTTAGATTTGCGACTTAGTTGATGAAATGGCAAGAAATTGTGAGTAATTTGGGAACCTTCCAGAGATCAGCACATATTCTCACGGCTGCCATGGGAAGGAAACATCAATCTGAACGTTCCGGCAACGCACATTACCAGAATGGCCGATAACCCTCATGAGAAATTTCCATCCAGTCGTTTGGACGTTACAGCTAAACACACAGGCAGACACAACAACTGGAAATAAGGATCTCCAAGAGCGGAGGGAGATCCAATGGAAAATGAGTATTCAGAAACATTGTTTTAATCTACAATGTAGCATTCTCAGAAAAGTACAATTTCTTGCCAATATATTTAAAAGACAAATCCTAGCAGGAACAGCTTCAAGGCAGCATTAACTGGAAAACACAATTTAAAATGAAACTTACTTTACAACCCATTGTTTATAAGTCGATACATCTTTGGCATAAAGTAATTTTCCTGTCGCTGAATCTTTTCCGAGATTTTGATCAGCGGTCGAGCACGAATCCATGAAAGTGCCGGCAATAACACTAAGACAAGAATCCATCAGTGCGGTTTTCTTGATGTCGAAAATAAATTCCGGATTTTTGATCAAATTGACCCAAAATCGAAGAGGCAGACTGAAAAGTATAAAAATTTTATTTCATTTACTAGGATACTGTGCTTAAAAATTTTCTAACTGTGAGCCAAGAACACCAGTTTGACTAGTAAGAGAATCTCAGAATTGCCACGCTCTTTTTGAATTCACATAAAAATACTTGTTTTTAGTTCGACCAAGTATAGCATCAAGTTTAGACTATTATTTTCTGCCACTCAGAATTCTAAAACTATCTTCAAAATAATGTTGCCATTTACATCTTCATGTCTCTGCTAATTTGGATTTTCTGCTTTGACAGAAATTGAAAAGATAGTTGGAATTCACGTCAAAATGTGGATTGGATGTACTTGGCAAATGACGGATGTTCACGCTAGCCTGATATCGCATTTTTTATGGTCTACTGATTTTGGCCTACTGATTTTGGTCTTGGAATCAAGGTCCTACATCCGGGGCTTTGCTCAGCTGCTTTCTGGGATTTTTGATGTGAAGTGCGCTTATCTCAGTTTAGGGTTAGTAATGCTAAATTTTGTGGGTTTCTGGCTTATATGGGTTTCATTAGACAAACTTTATAGTTGTATGACTTTATATTGTTGCAGATTTTGTTGTTCTATGTACGCTGAACGTTGTTAAACGTTTGCTATAATTACTGATATCTAAATTTTGCATTGCCGTTTGCCATCTTCAATCTTTACAAAGAAAATTACATTGCTGCATTGGTTTTCGTTTCTACAACTTGTGTTCTGTGTGTTTCACTGAATTGGGTCATCGCTGTCAGTTTTTCAGTTCAAGGTAAACGCATTTCAACCAGCAAACCAGAGAATTCAAATCTTGAATTATCAATAGAAAACGCTGGCATCTCAAGGGGTCTGGCGTGGGATAGTTCTAAATGATCACTGTCCTGAACAACGGAATCTCATTTTAATATTATTTACCCTTACATACTGAACACATTCGGAAAATAAAAAAGTAAATTTAGCTAAAAATTAAATTTTAAAACATGCCGACTTTTTTTTAAAAATGGATAAAAAAAATGCAAATCTATCCCAAACTGACCAGTTACTTTTCCACGTATGTACGATATCAGAATTTGTGACTCCATAATATTCCGCTTGCTCATCGAAAAAGTCAAACATATATTTGATAGGGAGTGGAAGAGCATGACCACGTTGTACAACGCTGAAAATGGTTTCCAACAAATCGTCAACAAATTTTTGGATCGTCCCCTGAAATATATAAGTGGTAAGTGCATTATGGAAATGTGAAGTAATAATTCATACATAAGTATTTATTAAAAACATAGTTTGAAGGAACTAAATGTTATTCATGAGCACGATGGCCTAGTCATTAAAGACCTAAGTATGTTCGCCTCACAATCAATGCAATGCTAAATCAGAAAGAATCAGGTCGTTAGATATCAGAGCTGCTTGTTGGTCATACAAAAGGTTGAATAAAAATGATTAATTTTTTTTATAAAAACTAGACTGCTAATATATGAGCCCCAGTGATGACAAAAATTTAAAATACAGAATCAAGTAGATTAGGTAAATAGGTATACAATACCAACTACCGGTATTCTTCATTTAACAAAGTTGTGATTTGTGACCAAAAACCTAAGTCAGGTTAGAAGCTAAGATACCCTAAAAAGAAGAAAACTAAAGACCATGCGATTATTTTAATTGAAAGTGTGATAAATCGGTTGAACTACGCCAAAAAGCCAATAGGATTTCTGATAACCTTAAAATTGATTCAAATTTCTACTGTGACAAGGTGCAATTCTATAGAAAGCCAGTTAATTTTACCTTTGTTGCTAACAGTCGTGTGAGATAAATTTCCGACACCATTAAACTTCCATCTGGACCTCCATCCTTAGGTTCTGTGTCATGTTGTTTTGTCTAAAAAAAGTTATAAATTGTTATCTCAGTTTGGGCTCAATGGCCTCGTGATTGGAGCAGTGTTTCCCAACTTATGGGCAGCGACCCAAATTGGGTCGCCTGAAAATTTTCTTGGGTGGCTTGTTTTTCAACAAAGTTACAAGTAAATGTTACTGCTTTTATTTTCAGTAAATTTGATTGTTCATTTTTTATTTGTATTGAAATGTTGCTGAATAGTAATTGTATATGTGGGAAGTAACACAAAGTAAAAACTTGGCATCTACTGTTTTACTTAAGTAAAGCAATGCCACGATTTCGAAACTCGTATATGGCAAATAAGGAGAGCTTTCTCACTTTACGGTAATTTTTATGTGAAAATGATTGTTTCATATCAGTCAGTGAATTTTGTGACCATACATTACATACCCATTAGTAGGTGCTCCCGAAGTATGCAAACCAAGATGGCAGACATCGGAACGTAACATGGGTAAGAGGTTAGGGTTAGGCGATAATTTTTTTCCAATTTTCCTTATTTTAGTCCTATTATCAGTTCGAAGACTAGCCAAGAGCCTCCCGTAGTATTTATACCTAAAATTATGGCCTAACCCTAACCTAGTACACATATTACATTCCGATGTCCGCCATCTTGGTTCGCATTCTTCGGGAGCCCCGATTAGTATTTAAGTATATCCTTATGCCGCAAGATTTAAAAAATTTTATTTTTTAAAGTTGGGTCTTTTGAAAAAAAAATTGGGAACGACTGGATTAGTGTTCAACCTAACTATGTTGACATCACAGGTTCGACTCATGTTATCCATCTAACCCAGGTGAAATAAATTGGATACGCGATGCGGAAGCAGAAAATTCTGGTTCTTTGAAAAAAAGTAACTATTCACTGATCAGTGGCTGTCTTTATGGAGAATTGCTTTTAGTAAAGGCATGATAACATAACACATCAGGTTCTGACTAAAAAAAGCTTGTTAAAATAACTTACCAAATGATAAGGTTTCTTTCCATCGTCCATTAGTGTAGGTGTCGTTGAACGACTACTTTGCAATGCTGTCATGTGACGTGGAAGACTACCGGCTCCATCGTTTATTAATCTGTAAAAATTTGGATTTATTTAACCCTGCACGTTTGAACACAACCGACTGTCATTTATGTCAGCAAAAACAACCACCGCATCTCTGAATATCATATGCGTGGTTCACACGTTTGAAACCCATGGAAGTAATTATGTGAAAAGATAATGCTGGACTCCTGTCACCACTCACCACATGATAGCTTGTAACCACGGGTCAGTTACTTCCCCATCAAGTCCATGTATCTGATCATTAATCACCATACCTGTCATAATGGAGTGATTGAAAAAACACTCAAACTTTGAGGAAACATAATATCGTTGTAGAAAAGGGACCAAAGAATGATAATCGACCCATCACCCAACAATACTCTGTACAAATGCTCATATCATATGCTTATAACACCTACCTGTGCCCACTTCCATTATACCTCATTCCACCAATTCTGGAACCAAATGAATTGTTAGAATTCATGGACTGATTGAGAGGATTGTGTCGTCTTGGCACCATGGTGACAACTGCATGATCTTTCACCTGGAATATATTGTGAAAATTGATGAAATACATACAATGGAGGATAATAAATTCAGTAAAAGATTTCGTAATAAGATTGTGTAACGATGGGTTAAATCCAAATATTGGGATCTAGATTGTGACACTCAAATAGGCCATCTCTAATCCAGCGTACTGAGTAACACAAAATCTTGTTCATATGAAATCATATGAATAAACTTTAACAGAAATTGTGAAAAAATATTTTTTCAATATTATTTCCTTACTGATGGAATTAGATAATATGTCTTTCTGCATAGAGGTCAAACAGAAATGAAAAAAGATTTTCAACCTTAATTATTGTTTATTGGGAAAGACATAAACAAACCATACCCTGAATAATTATTCACTAGTCAAAGCATAGGCAATTTCAGTGACAACAAATCCGACATGTGAAAAGCGAGTCATATCATACCTCATAATGTTGTAATGTATTGAGCTTTTTCCATTGGCCTTCAGTAATTGAAGTATTATCTTCATCACTCAATATAGCTCGTTCCAAAGCTGGTTCTGCTGCTATTTCTGTTACAGAATTTTACTCATATTAGACATACATTGCGAAATTGTATAAAAATGTGCCTTCAAATGTGTTTTATTTTGTATAGTGGTTTTCTCTAAGGCCAATATTAATTTCTAAAACTAACTATTACAGGACAAAGCATACTCAATATCAAATTTTCTGTTGCTTTTTTGTGCTGTTCGATTTTTTTCGCAAAGATGTTTGAATAAGATTAAAAACAAGAGGTTAGAAACAAAAGAGCATAATCTCGTAAAACTATTACACCTGACAAAAGCTGGCCTAAATACTCTATTGAAAGCTTAGTTAAATGTGTGTTATTGCTATATCAAATTGAAGAGTTTTCAAACCCGGTTAAATGTGACCGTTAGCAATAACACAAAAAATTGAATGTTGCCCGACGGCTTCTAACTCTGTACACAGTAATAATGATTAAAGATGAAATGAAAAATGAAAAAAAAAAAATTGACGGCCTATTAATTTTATACAATTTAGCCGTACTAGTAAAAGCAGCATTGAGCAATAACGGATGAGAAAAAACAAAAAAAACGAGTATGAAGGCACCTTCCTCAAGACTACCTACTCTCCCATCTTCCATACTAGCATGATGAGCCAGATACCACTGTGAATTTGTGTAATACAAACCTAAAAAAATGAAGTACCATATAAGAAAACAAACCTAGATCAAAAGCATCTGGACTTGGATGTTGTGACTGTGGTTGATTTTTATATTTCAATGCAATAATTTTTTCTTTTGTCTGCGTTATTGTGTCACAATCTAATACTCGAACTTGCAATCTTTGTGATGATTGATCAGGATTGTGTTCAGCGACAACAAGGACCTGAAAAGATTTTAGAAGAGAAATATAATTTGATTGAATATTCAATTCAATTCTAATTAAGACAAATATACCGATTATATTGCAGCAAACTGATAAAGTGAATGCATAATGATTTCTCAAAAATATCACAAAACAAGAGAAAAATGCGCCAATGACTAACATGTTCACCGCAACATCATCTGTAGTAGTTTATTTTATCACCACACTGAAAATAGGCACAAATTGCAATAAATTATAGAAAAAAAATCTCATTCCAAGGTGAACATTCTACCGAAAGTCATAAGGTGTGTCAGTGACATTATGAAGAAATAGCAGCATTTACGGTGATATGAACACATATAAAAAAGTGAACAAGGTAAAAGTAATAACTTGCTAGCAACTTCTTCAATCTTACACTGAAAATTTGAAATTTTTCCCCAGAAAAAGGAAATCAACAACAAAGAATTTCACAATTGTCCACTTTGTGTTCAAAAACTACATATTTTCATAATAAAGTGCTCAATAATGTGTGATTACAATAGAAAAAATATAAGCAAATCTGTTTGTATATCCCAATAAGATGACATTTTTTTCACTAATAAATACAAATATATGAACTATACTATTTTTGATTTTACCATCTATAAAGATATGAAAACTTACCAATTGTTCATAAGTAACAGCCTGCCTCAACAACTTATCTTGATTGAGAGAATATTTTGCAAATCCAGTGATTGCATCGACTGGTCCTTTATCAAGTTGAGCTTTGATTGCTCGATATAACATGAACAATGGTTCACCAGCACATTCCTGAATATATAGAAAATAATAGGTAGTAATTAATATACAGTATATCATCGCATATAAGCAGAATTCAAACCAAGAAATCAACTCATACGCGCATTACTGTGGTCGCACTAAAAAATCGACTTATACGCGCTCATAAGTCATAACTCATAATGGTTATCATTTTCATTAATTCTCTTCGGCAACCATTTGCAGTGAAGGGTGCGGCCGCCGTGTTACGACTTATATGCTAATTTTTATACATTCACCGTTTTAGAGGGTCGGTATATATGTGAGATCAGCTTATATGTGATATAGGTAATAACGGTGTTATGGGACTGTGTTTATCTTCTGAACAAAATGAACGAACTCTAACTCACTAACTGACCGAGAAACATGATATAAAAAAAGGCTAAAACGAAGCCATCGCCGAGCCTTATGGTGTACACTGTGCAATATTTCAATTTTGATGACGTCATCGCACACAAAAACAAATTCCTCAGAGCCCACAGAAATTTTTGAAATAAATGAAAGTAATAGCCTTTTAGCAAAAAATACGATCTTTAACCAATTAAACTTTCAAAGCAACATACTGCCACTTCTTGTTCGAAAAGAAACTTCGAACATTAACAAAAAATTGTACAAAACTTAAAGGACTTACCGTCAGAAAGCTATGCAGCAAGATACTGAACCAATGCGTTAACATTTTTTCAGCGACAGATTCACTTCGTCTCAACAATAACCTTGGGTTTGTTTTACTTTCCATGATGTCACGTATCAATCCGCTGAGCAATTCTTCCAGAATTCTAACAAAAATATGACAAAAGAACATTTATAAGAGAAAATATATTCAATGTAAAGTAAAAATAATGTAATCTCTTTCCACCAAATCGCATTCATTGGATCATAGTAAAGATGGATTAGGAAGCGAATAATTAATTGTGGAAAGCAGGGCTGGAGAGCTGGTTCGAGATCTTAATGGCGGATCTGGCTCCAGCTACAGGGTTTCGTTTATTACGTTTCATTGAGGTTTTCATGTGTGACCAGTGACCACTACCATGAAATATCTGCCCAAATGCAGTTTTGAGAAGGTGGGACTCAAAACTACGATATTAGGGTTTCAAATTTCCAAATTTAAATTTTAAATACTAGTGTATAAATTCGACTTGAAACCTCTACACTAATAATATTATATTTCAATTTCAATCGATAATAAATTGTCAGCTGTAAATCATGCGTACCCGGTAGCATACTGCATTCTATTTTGTAAAACGATCAACAACAATCCTGCAACATTGCTCCTGGAAAAAAATTAAAATCACAATCACAAAATAAATCTCTTGAGTAGACTACATTAGTTATGAGAAGAGCCGACTGGTTAACCTAACATAGAAAGCTAATGATTGCAACCGGTATTGGTCGGTATATACCAGTTAGTACTAACATTTCTATTCAACATTCATCTCATAAAAGTTTTTTCATAGTACCGGTAAGTTTATATCCAGTGGTATTCAATTTAAAATATATCGCTAATCAAAAGTTCAAAAATTCAAAGAATAAAAAGATTATTGAACATCTGACTAGAGGACATCGAAAGGATTTATTTGAGAAAAAAAATCAAGTCTAATGTTCGAGCATTCAAATATGATTTACAACAATTTGAAAGTTAAAATGGCCTAAATTTGGGAATATATATCAAATCCTTTATCAACAATACCAAGTGTAATGGAGTAAAGAACTAAATGAATAAACAATCAATTCACAGAGATTGCAAAGTAAAATAATACGAATCAAACCTGTCTTTCATTGAAAATTTTCGTTGTTTTTCCAGTGCGTATATAAAAGTAAGTAGGAAAGTCTTGTTTTCCAATAATTTATCGAAATCTTCGAGAGCTGCACCAAATGTACGATGTTGAGCTCCTCGTCCGTTATGAATATTCAAACGATTGTTTGGATCCACTATAAATATATAGAGTATCTTCAAATTCAAAAATTGCAACACATACTTTTGTAAAAAAAATAAGACTGATCCCAGCTGCATCTTATATTTATTCATGTGCTACTATTGATAAGTACTTCAATTCAATACAATGTAAATAGCGATTAACCCAAAGTATTGGCATGTGTATTCATATAACATAACATTAGAAAATTCATGAAAAAGTTATATTACATTGCTATAAATAATAAACATTGCTATAAATAATAAACATTGCTATAAACAACTTAAAAATTCTGGGGAGCAAGATGGCCTAGTGTAGTGGTTCCCAAAGTTGATTGACCGGGGGCTAAAATTAGAAGCGGAATGATATTCGCAGGTCAAGAGAGGGGAACGCCCGCAAGGGGTGATACTGATACCGGCATGTAATTGAATTGTTACGAATATACACATGCTTAAGCTGTGATAATGACATAACAATTGGCGGTATCTAGAACACAAAATAGTAAAAACATGAAGTGTTAAAGTATTCCAATGAAGTTCGGCGGGCCATATTAAATTATTACGCGGGGGGAAATTGGCCCAACGGGCAGCGGTTCGGCAACCACCTGCCTAGTGGGTAAAATGTTGGACTGTGTCAGTATAACAGGTTAGATCTTGTCTTCAGATCCCATGCCCATCATCTCACCCAGGATGTGAGTAGGCAAAGCCAAACCGGAAAGATTACGATCCTCCCAAAAATAGTGGCTCATTTCTTACTTATTGTTAAATATCAATTGCTGCTTGTACAGGGCCTTGTTTGGAGTGGTGTGGTCGTATAAAAAATATCCCATGATTATCGAAAAGAAAAATTCCTGTTATAATAAAAGTAAAAAATGCAATACATTGTTTTATCCAGTGAGCAGGATCACTTGCTTGGTAATAAATTGCATTGATAAAGGATAGATATTAGTATTAGTATTAACTTACAATATGGGGTGTACATGGCTTGATTAAGTTTTTCATACATTTCAGGATCGGGAAATAATACTCTCATGACATAGTCATGTCTTTTACGAAATGGGATACCAACGTTACCCATGTTGTCGAGGTCGGAACGCATGTCCGTTTGAAGCTCAGCAAATGCTAAAAATAAATATACCACATTGTTTGAAATGAAACGTTTTAAAAAATGAAAACGAAACTTTTCGTTAAATGGGTAACTCACGTTTATTTATTGGAAAATTATTTTATTCTATAAAATATCCAGTTCTGTTTTAACAAATTTCCATTGGTAATTCCATTTGTGCACTACATTCCATAATAAAAATTACAACAAATGAAAGTAATGCATTATAGTCGAAGAAATAAACAAATCACAGACAATTCACTTTTAATTAATGTAGTTATCACGAATGGGCACCTAGCGAGGGACTCAGAGGATCAATCTGTGATCAAGATTGAGAAATTCTGGTTTATACACAAAATATCAGAGTAAATACTTGCTGCATGTTCAGTACGCCACGCCATCAAAAGATTACGTCACTTCGACCTCACAATCATGTCAATAAGCAAAGTATAGCTACGATGGCCTGAAATGGCATCTTCGCCAACGATAACGATGGCTGTGCCACACCAACTAGAAATACTTACGTCATGCTGTGAACAAGGCCTAAATGTTTAATTTGTGAACAAGGCTGATAAAGGATCAGATGTACTATTTTCTTACCTTCTTTGCATTCTTTTGCAACTTTCGCTTCCATTAAATCATATTGCTTTTGTTTTCGCTTGGCCGTTTCATCCCTCTGTCTGGCCCTTTTGAGCAAAATGACACCGACGATAATAATCACAATGATTATGAGACCAATGAAGGCAATCAAAACGTAAACGAAAGAAGGTAGTCCAGTTTCAAATTGCAGTTCCCCAACATTTTGAAAGTAGTCTCCTATGAAAACCTGCAAAAAATAGGTTCATTCAGAAATTGCAAAATCCCAAAACTAAAGCCTAGATAATCCAGGTTGAACCGGTTTAATTTCGTAATTTGTGTACTATTTGAACCTCAGTAAATATTTATTTAGGGTGTTTTGGGGGGTATATTCACTTGGCTAAAACAGACAATCACCAAACTCTTAATAGAACAAAAATAAGGAAAAGCAGGATAAAATTATGGTCTAACCCTAACCTGGTACACACACTACGAGAGTACCCACTTTAGTGCACTGTAGGTAGGGAAACTTAAAAGTAAAAGAAATAGCCTATGAGAAGATAGAACTTTCTTCAGGTACTGTATGTACCACAAGACACACTTAATCATTCGGATCCACATAATGTTTTTCTCAAAAACGAGGCATGCGCATTATACGCAGGTACACCTTATGTTTGGATCAGGTAGTGCATTATGCACCATTGCCTACACTGAAAAAAACAGTACCCGTACCAGTTATAGCCTGCTGCGCCTTATAATAAAAACCCAATCTAAGCAATTTATTGACAGTGTGCCTTATAACCTGGTGCGTTTTATGGTCGGTAAAATACAGTACTAAAGATTCGAAAACGATTGAAGAAAAGCTTTGAAGAAAAGCAATCTTTTTCATTAATTTGACAAAACAATCTATCATGATCATTTTGTGACCGAAAAAACGTTCAGAATAGATCAAAAATTATTTTATTTATCATCTTTCAAAGGAGAAAAACTATTTATATATTGTTATGATTTCTTACCGTGACAGGATGCTTCCCTCCAGCGCCCTCAGGTGGAACACAAACCAATTTTTCTTTGTCAATACTCGTTACATTGCATTTAAACTCATCTCCGATCTCAACCTTCACAGAGCTTATATCACATTTGAGAGGATTGGGGCAGAGGTTACGACCCTGAAAACAAAGGTTATATATTTGTTTGTTCGGGACAATTAACTTTGCTGTTCAAGACGATATTACCATCCAGAACATTGATAAATATTCTTTTAGGTTATTCAATACGAGTATTCAGTAAAAAAGTCTAGACTTGCATGAACATCTTGCATTATCTATTAATCTTCAAGAAAATACCTTACCATGATAATGATGGGTCCACTCTGATGTTGTAGTGTATTATCAGGAGTATCGAATTGATCGAGAAAAGGATCTTCTGTATATTTAATATATCCTGCGTCTCGAGTCGAACAATCATCAAATATAAGTTTTGCGGAATAATTGCCTAAACAAATACAAAATTAGGCAGTGAACATATATGGTTGAAGCTCGAGTTATAAGTTAGTTGGAAAGTAAAAATGAACTTGGGATTTGATTTGAATACATGCTCGGATATTGTTTTAGATTTTGGTAAACAAATTTTTTACTGCCATTGACTTTGAGGAAGAATTTAATTCAATATTTTAAACTCTTAAACATGCCTTTTTGAGTCTCATGAATTTCAAAATTAATTTTAGTTGATAAAATCCATTTTGGATACCCAACAGGAAGAATATATTAGAAAATTAAACAATCATCTATATATATGCAAGCTTATTAATATCCCAAGTTCTTTGAAAAATAAAAGCAATAAACATTGTAGATTACCTGTCGGAGAATTAGCAATCTTCGGTGACATGCAAATTCGTTTGTCTTTATTTTTAGAAGCCGGTTCGCATTCCTTCAAATAAAATATGATATTATGTTAGATGTCAAATAACAGATATAGGGATGTCCAAAATAAATAGAATATATTCAAAATTCACTATATGCGATACAGTAATTTTTGAATTTAGGAATAATTTAGAATATCTTTGTTTAAAAAATTAGGAATTTTGAGCAGTCAGACAAGCAGATCAAAACATACAATATCTCAACTAGAAACAAACAACATTTGTTACAAACAATGTAATTTTCCACATGAACTTGATCCAAATTTAGAAATGTATTCAATATTTCATATTCGAACATATTTTCTCCAAATAATTTGGAATAGTGGAAAAATAGGGAAAAAAAGGTACAGAAGTTCTATATTTTCTATTCTTTCTTCAAATTATTTTTTACTTAGTGGATGAAGTCTATTTATTATGAAATTATTCTTAAAATAAGGAGTTCAGTATATCACACAAAACCAATTTCAAAAATTCGGACATGTCTGCTCATACAGATTAAAAAATTAAAAATTCGTAACACTCACTCGAGAAGCCACAGAGCCTTCAAATTTGACTTCAAGAACCAATGATTGAGCCAAGTTTAAATTTCTTCCTGTGACTTGTAGTTTCATTCCTCCACTTTTAATGGATTCTTTTGGTTCCATTGGAATTTTATCATCTGGGAAATTATCTTCGAGAAGAAATGGTTGAGGATAGTAGTAAGGTTTTTCATCAAAAACAAGCTGAAAAATCGAAGTATATAATTAGAGAAAATCACCATACCACAACTTGGCGCTCCAGGATTATGTGCACCAAGATGGCGCAATACTGGTACAATACTATGTTCAGGTTGTGCGCCGTCTTGGTGCACATACTTCGGGAGCAACCAAATTTTATTCTGTAATGTTTGGCCTGACAAAAGTCCGACAAGCAGATGGTTCTTTTTTATGATCATTCTTTATTATTACTCTAGCACTAGGAAGTACTTCTGGAGCAGGCTAATTATTTTTTAGTTATTTTTATGCAATATTTTCTTGAAAACCAACTATTTTTAGACAAGAGCCTGCTTGTAGAGAACAGAATAAAATATCTCAGGAAGCAGAGAAAAGAAAAATTTTAAAAATAGCTTTCGGGTAAATACATAATATAAGTTTTGTCATTATTATCCAAAGGTGAAACCCTTTTCTGAAAAAAAATACGAAAAATACATGTCGGGTGAAAGATTAGTAAATGTTCTGTTCCCTTTAATAAATGCATGGACTTGAACTAACCAAATGTCCATTCAGCTGATGATATAACATTACTAGACTAGACATTACTTGGACGATAATCTGGTAAAATTACATTTTTGTGGTTTTCAAATTACCATGATGACACATAAGATAGCCTTAATAGTGAGTTATTATTGTTTCATGTTCCTAATTATATGTTAAACACACCTATTAATTAACTTACGCCACAACTGAGATTTTGGACCTATGTATTCAAACATTGTATATATACATATATATTTTAATTTTTCAAACCTTCACACGAGCTCTATCAAAATCTCGTTTCTTTCTGTGAAGACGTATATGTGGTCCGTGGTGTTTTTGATGATGGTGGTGTCTGTGTGATGTGTGTCTACGACTTCTACTTCTAGATGAAGGATTGAAGCATGCCAGTTTGCAGGTAAAAGATAAACCAGTCATGGTGCTCCTGAAATAACAAATAAAATAAACTTAATATGGTACTCTAGTAATATGTGAACCAAGATGGCGGGCACCGGAATGTAGTATGTGTACCAGGTTAGGACATCATTTTATTCCAATTTTTCTTATTTTAGTTCTATTACGAGTTCAGGGACTAGCCAAGTGACTCCCGCAGTATTTGTACCTGAAATTATGGCCTAACCCTAACCTGGTACACATACTACATTGCAGTGTCCGCAGTCTCGGTTCACATACTACGGGAGTACCCTTAATATAGCAGTGAAACAATCACTATCAACGTTATTGCCTTTTGCATTAAACTATCAAATTTATGGAGAAAATAATGATGTGATTCAGGGTTTGATTGCAGTACTTTGACCTGCGTTAAAAATTTTGTTGTGAGACAATCAGAACAAGGCTTTGTGCAAGTCTTTTCCATAGGCAGGGGCTGATCATTATGTATAAATTGGTGGGCATGGAGTTCTTAGATTCTTAACGTGCAACACCAAAATAGTTCGATACAAAGCTCTCACCGCCTTCAGCCCAGCGCGCCTACTAAATTATGCAAGTGAAGGTATCGGCTGAAATAATGTTACTCACAGTAAATAGTAAAACTTTAAGCAACATCATATTTAGAATTTATAATCAGAACTTTGTTAAATACATCCCTAATATAAAATTTCTCACACCTGGATTAGATTATTGGAATATAAATTTATATTAAATAATAATATTCAAACACTCAAACATGCATGCTTTAATATAAGTTCCTTAATTAATCATAACTAGGATAGTGACTGATAGTTCAATAGAACAATTCTCCATTTTATTGGACATGAAGTAGACCCATGGATTGTTTTTGTTATTGTTGATCTCCTTGTTAGTATTTCTTTTCTTTTTCTTGTGAAAAATCGCTTTTCGTATTAACTACTAATTGACGTATTGATGACAAATTGCTTCAAAATGAACAACAACATAATATTAACAATCCAATCCATATATCCAGTCAAATATAGAGTGATACAATATGAGAAATAACAGTTTTTCTTAAGCAAACAAACCTGTCGACTGCGCAGCTTCTGCCTTCAATATACACAGTGACATTGTTTCCAATATCAAGATGTTCTCCTTCAAATTTAATCTTAGTTCCACCAGAATATAATCCATGCTCAGGATGAAAACTTTTAAGTTTGGGTTCAACAAATTTGAATGTCTGAGAAATAAAATAATGAATTGAATACCGTAGATAATATGCAACAAATGAGTATATAAGCGTGTAGTCATTGCAAATGGTAGCTAGCATGCTTGACGCAATCATATTGGAAATTACAGTCTCTTGTCTGGTTATCAGTCCATGGCGAGCATGGGAATAGTCGATTTTGTCTATGGATTCGAGCATATCAACCCACACAGGGTAATCAGAAGAGCAATGGAAAAAGTGTTTCTAAGGATATGCACAATGCACCAACCGACGAACCATAGTAAAACAAGCCATCTGCACTTCAGTAAACCGTAACCATCACACAACATTGCACCCAATCCGATAACTTACTGCAGTGACTGGGATACAGAAAATACCAGTTCATTTTGAGAGCTGCGCGTCTCGTCGGTATCCTTTTAATGAGCGGTATACAGCGGCTAATAATTAACTATGTTCACAGTTCACTAAAATTCCTAAGACTTCCACAGTTTAACAATATGAAAAATGGCTTGTTTCAAAAGATTATTTACTTCTGTGATCGCAGAGTTTAATTTTCGAGGTAGTTCACAAGATAATGACGACAAATCGTAAAAAAACTAGAAACAACGACTGGCACATTTTTTCGCTGATGCCACGGAAAAGAAACACCAACCCGGACTTTCGGTGAAGCGCACATTACCAGGGTGACAGCATAACCCACATAAGAAATTTCAACCAGATCAGTCCGGCAGTTTATACGCTACAGCTAAACACACAGACAGACAGAACGACTGAGAATAATTGTCTCCTAGAGCAGAAATCCAATATTCAAGATTTGAAAGCCTTACCTGAACACTGATTGTTTCATACTCAGGTCCTTTACAATCAGGATTATAACTCTTTGTTTGAATACAGAGTTTAACTGGACCTTTCCCTTCCTTGTCCACTCTGTTGACCTGGCATACTACCCTAAATATTGATAAAAATACTTCAAAATGCTTTTTTCATTGATTGTAGATTTAATGTCACATTATTTAGACTTGTATTAGAATTTTTAAGTCGAATTTCCATGGGTGGAATTTCCAGATACCCGTTTATGTGTTCAGTACTAGACAAAATATGGGGGGAAAACATATATGTAATTAGAAAAATAGATGGATGACGTCACCTAACAAATTCCATGTTCCCTAATATACTGAAAAATATATCTCATGCTATCGAGAACAAAATTGGTCAGCTGCAGGTTTAAAGGACTTTGAAGTCCCCAAAATGACACTTTGACATTGCATTTTCTTTATTATTATTTCACCTTTGTACCATTTTGAAATACTAGTACTATAGGTGCTAATTTTATAGGAACATCACCCCATTTGATAGCCAGCAACAAGATTATTTTGATTATTCAAAAAAAATTCAAAAAAAAATTGAGTCTCCATATAAAGGATTTGTTAATTTACCTTTCAGATTCTTTGTAACCTTCACTAATTACTTGGCATGTCTGATTCGCGACCGTGATACCGTTATCCAATTTATCAAATGTTTTTCCAAGGTTTTTTCCCTCGATAGTAATCTTTGTCAATCCGCCAGGTGCTGCCGACTTCGGAGAAAACTGAAAAATATAATAAATAAAGGAATTAAAATGGATGAGTATTTACCAGAGCATAAACCTCCTTGTTTATTTCTGCAACAGTAGTTAATCAGCAATAAATTAGCAGCGACATAATATTTGAATTTGGCAGCCGTTCAGTCACTTTTTACAATCTAGAAAAGCATGTCTCAAACTTATTTTGACCTGGAACATTTACGCTTTTTATCTCACTTTGCAACACAAAGAAATTAGAAGTAAATTGATGGGTGGCTTCCAAAAAATTTAGTCCATGGTAAAATTAAAAAAGTTTGCTGTAAACTTGACAATTATAAATTAGGCCGAGGGTTAACGATATTGAACGTTTGTCGACAGTTGGGAGGCAGCCAAGATCGCAATGACGACCAATTTCGATCCATATTCCGCGGAACGCTCCAAAGAAGCTCACAGAACAGCAGTGTTCCGCTGCTATACAGAATAGGGCAAAGTATATTCACTCAAATTACTTATAGATGTATTTCGTTCGATGGTTGAAGCATCGGACTAAACATCAGGAACATGATTCCAACCTCACACTTCGAATTACTCACGGCAGTGAATTATGTCAGTGTTAATTATGTGCAAGAGAATTAGACCACGTCTATGATGGTACACATAACAGCCGCTCAGTTACAGCTTTCTCCAACGAGCCCATGCATCAGAAAATGAAAACTGGATAACTGTTCGCATACCCAACATACCAGACGAGAGGCTGTGGTTTTAACCCATTTCATTGTGGTTCCCGAGACAAAAATAAAAATCCCATCATATTCTATTATCGCAAGAAATTATAGTAAGATGGAAGTGTAATACCAGAAATTATTTTTATTAAGAGCGCTGGACACTCCAGCTATAGAATAAAAAGCTTGAATGGCTAATTTATTAATGTTCTTTTACACACATAACACGAAAAAACACAATAAATGACTCAAAGCATCTGAGAAAGTAAACATTATCAGTATGTACAAAAGTCGTATTGTCAATTCATTCCCACTTTTATCCGGCATATATTATTCAAAATGTGACCAGTTACGACAAAACAAACAAAGTTTATTTGCAGAAATAAAATAAATTTATTTTCTTGCGCAATCAAATATTGTTGATTAGGTAAAAAGTTGGGTGGAAATTTTTTACATTAGACTATAGTATGGAAATAGAAAATGCCATTAATTCAAGCAGGCACAATTTCAATCTGTCTCTTTATTAAGTTTTTGTGTATAAAATGCAAACATGTCTTACCAATTATACAAATCGGGGACAATAAATTTAGTTTGATGATTTTTATAAATATTACAAAAAATGTTTCGCGGGGTGCACACCATAAAAAAATTGGCACTTCTCTGTGAGCAGCACAATTTTTCCTTGTGGGCCGCAGGTTGCACACCTCTGTCGCACCCAATACAATGTCTTTATACTTACATTAGTAATCTCTGGGTGTTTACAATCTTGAGATGGATTCAGCCATCCTGGATATAAATCTCCTGTATCATTACGACATGTACGTGCCAAACATTCTGAACAAAGGGTGCATTTTGCATTCTTCTCACACCATCCACATTTCAGATCTTCACTGAGTTGTAAACATTTTCCACAATTGTCTCCTTGGCCACGAGAACATCGATACATTGTGACTAAAGAATGATAAAATTAGATAAAATAGTGTTTCCATATTTATTTTAAAGAAAAATTGATAAGCGAAAGAGATTAAAAGGTTGGAAAAATGAATAGTTAATTAAGCAGTTCATTGCACCAGTACCAGATACAAGGACTCCAATGGCAGAGGTAACCCTAATAGGCAAGCTTTTTCGTGAAGTATTTACCGGTACATATTACCATCCTGTATTCATGATGATGGCACTATTTCTCTCGTACAAAATTATCTCCCATAGGATTCAAACCCACATGAACAAAATCTTTCACAGCAGTGGGAAAAGTGTTTCTTAAACTTACCACGATGCGCCAACAATCCAGCAAAATAATTTAGTTTTACTCAAATCATCAATTTCCTATCTTGTACCATATTTATGAGAAAATTTATTAGATTAATCTACAAAATTGTGTCAAACTAATAAAGAAACAAATAGACCCCTAGTTTTGAAAATGAAGGTAGTCTTCAAAATAATTCAATTACAATTCTTTACCGTAAGTTCAATTTCAATATTCAGTATTCCAGGTTGAAAAACTGTTTTAAGAGATAACTACCATTTTACAAACATATAAAAACACAGAAAACTAACCATTTAGTTTCTTTGGATTGTCAATAACAAATTTCTTGTTCCAATACAAATCAACTTTCGCATTTGCTTGAAATTTGCCAGCAGGTAAGAATCCCTGAATTAATAAAATCTGGGTTAATTATGAATCACAATAATAAAAAAAAAATACATTTTGACCGTTATTCTGTTATAAATGTTCTTAAAAAATTTAGGGCTACGTCAACAGTTTGGCATGCTTTCATTGGAGTTGGAACTCGGGGAACTCGGGAAGTCTTAATTTGATACATTTCATGGTGATAATCAAAGTCAAAATTTTTACACAAACTGAAAAAGAAGTTTTGAGTCGGCTAAGCCTTTTTAACAGTCTAAAAATAAAAGAGGCTTTTTATTATCAAAATTAGATTTTCTCGAGTTCTCAAAGTTGAAATTTTCATCAACGTGAAATTGTAGAGTTAGGAGCAGAAATTGTTTTCAACTCAGTCTGGAGTCTGGATTCAGAGTCAAGATTATTATATACCGGTAGGTGGAATTGGGAATTGAATATAAATTCACCAGACTCCCCAACACTGAAAAAACAGCCAGCAAAAAATTATTTCATCAATTACAAAGCAAAATTTTTAAGATCCAGTTTGTCTCAGAATTTAAAAAAAAAAAAAAAATACATTGCGAAAAAGTTTTGTAAAATACCTGAATAGGGCCACAAACAATATCTTCATTATTTCTTGATGCATTTACTGTTTTCTTTACAACACCATCAACACTGAATTGGCAATTGAATTTTGGAAGAGTAAAATCTCGAAGATTTTGAACTTTTAATCGAACGCTTTTTGTTTGACCTTGATGTATATGAGGAGGTTGGACGACACTGACCAGGCGAGGACATTGCTGAAAAAGGTGCGAAGATATATATTAAATTCATTTAGTCTTTAAATGAATATCATAGAGATACTTGTTTTAAGAGATTTTAAAGAAGAAAATGGATTTCAATATTGTTATAATAGTATAACATGGAGATGGTCAGTTGTGTGACAAACTGCAAAGGACCATAAGGATGTGTATTAAACAAGATAGTGATAAGTTTATAATAACAAAAATAAATTGTCAACCATTCAACAATGTACCTATATCTTAAGATTTTACTACGGCATTCTTTACCTGTGGCTACAGCAAACTGTGTGTTTAAATTGATTTAAGGCGTTCATCAAGTCAACTATTGGATATTGTTAAAAATTAATGACAACAAGGGATAAATATTTAGAATCAATTTTAATTAGGTAATTAGAAAAGGGAATACAATCCGGGATGACAGTTAATTATGTAATAGCCAAGATTAATTGTAACCGTTACTAACCATCTAAAGTCTAAGACTCTAAACTCACACGCCCTGTTTTATGATTCTTTTATTAGTAATTCAACTATACATAAACTGACAGGTGTAAGCATGTATTTTTTACTGGGATTGAAATGACAATAACTCTTTGAACATCAAAAACAATAGATTCAAACACCATTCAAATACCACTATTATCATTTAACCACAAACAATGTAAGAATGAAAATAGGTGCTGTCATAAAGGTTCATAAAGCTCAAATTACAATTGAATAATCAATGAAATGATTGAAATTCCCCACAAGTGTGTGTAATATCATACAAAAGACATTTCTTAAATTGTTTTTTTATTAATAACAATTCATGGCCATTGACTGTGAATACTAATCATATGATAATATACTTCCAAACATTTTAATTAGTGTATCACACACAGATCACTTGATAAAAATTTAAAACTATTTCAGTAATACAGAAGTTTCTATCCACCCACTAACTTTTGATATAACATTCCAGCTATCCATAATCAAACAGTTTTATATTATAAAACAAATATTGCTACAACAAGTCAAACAATTACTTCCGCTAAAGTGGCGTAATTCAAAGAGTGGTGTAATTCAAATTGACTGCCACACCTTTGTACTATTATCAAATCAGACATACAAAAGGGAGCATGTAAATTTCCCCCTATCAGCAATTGTAAATAGTGAAAAATCACCGTGTTATTCATCATGATTGTAGAATTAATCACCAGGCTGAATTAATTCTGAACAAATATGGAATTTCAAATACATTTTAAATCGGGGGCAAGTTCATGTGGAAAATGACACAAATCACTATATTAATTTCATGTTGATCATATCTAAAACGACACAAACATAATAGTCATTGACATATTGGTGAATTCGTTACCAGTTGAGATATCATACATTGAGATTGAATCCTTGACGACTTAAAATTCTCAATTTTTAAATGTAAATGTTCCAAATTATTCTTAAATTTAATATATTGTATATTATAATAAATTTCGAATTTATTCGAATACTTGATTCGCTTTGCATATCACTGAATTAATTACATTAGAAATTTTATAGATGTCCAGTCCAAAAACTGCCCATGCTGACCATTGACCACTAAATCAACAGTGTATTAAATTAGGTAGTAAGATATCAATCGAAGGCCAGTAAATATATGTTTATTAAGGGTTTGCTAATACAAAGCTTTGCTTATATAAAGCAAACGTGGAACATTATTACAAAAATAAAAAATAAATTCATATTCTCTGTAAGCCAATTTGATAAATGCTGATGTTTTGATTTCTTTAACATACTTACCGGTATATCTACAAATCTACAATGTTATAAATTATTATTATGAATTAAAATTCCATCTCTGCCAAAAATTGCAGAAAACTAACTTCAGATATCTGCTTTACATCAGTCAAACAAATTACAGACCACAACAAAGAAATTTCTGAAGACAATCTATTTGAAATCTAGAACTTGTAAACGCATACTTCACATATTTTATCTTGATATAATATCTATGCTTCTAGAAAGCTGAAAGTGATGAAGATCAAATAAACTGCTAAAAGACTACTTGACTACTTTTACAACTATAATATTTTACCATTATTATTCTGATTACGGATGAAATGTTATAGAATAAAATTTGCGAAAGTGGGATGCAGGACATTTAAACCACTTTTTAAAAAATGTTTTAGGATTTTGTAATTAATATAAAAAAAATAATAAATTCGAATGGAATTTTCACGATGAACTGCTCAGGTTTATTATCATGTGTATTAATAGACGTTTTCTTGGTTGCATACTACAATACTAAAGGTAAGGCTAAAAAGAAACGGGACTGACATCACAGATTGCGCAACACGATTAACCATCGGTAATCAACACTTTTGCAATATGGCGTAATATGTGTTCTTTGTTTAACAGCTGTTTTGACACAATATCCCAATTATTTTTGCTTTTCAGGATCCATAAGTGAATGTGATAAATTTCTTGTTGAAAAAAAACGCTGTGCTAGGTCTGATTGAGTTTTTTGGCGATAGGGGATTCAATTAAAGAATGAGCAAAGAATTAACATTAAATTTTGTGTCAAACTTGGAAAAACAGCAACTGAGACTTTGCAGATGTTGCGTGATGTTTATGGAGATTCTTCCATGTCCAGAACAAGAGTTTTTGGATGGCACAAGCGATTTGTGGAAGGCAGGGAGGATGTGGAGGATGATCCGAGGTCAGGGAGGCCTTGCACTTCCGCTACTGATACTAACATCGGAAAGGTTTAGCAGTTGGTTCGCAGTGACCATCGCTTAACAATTCGCGTCATTGCCAACGAACGCACCATTTTGGTTGACACTTTGGGAATGCGAAAGGTGTGTGCCAAAATGATGCCAAAGGCTCTTGAGTTGACTGAGGAGCAGAAAGCTCAACAATTGAATGCATGCCGAGTTGACATGCATTTTTCCAGGTTTGACACAAAATTTAATGTTAATTCTTTGCTCAATCGTCATTCTGCAATTGAACCCCCTATTGCCAAAAAACTCAATCAGACCTCGCACAGCATTTTTTTTTCAACAAGAAATTTATCACATTCACATATGGATCCTGAAAAGCAAAAATAATTGCGATATTGTGTCAAAACAGCTGTTAAACAAAGAACACATATTACGCCACACTGCAAAAGTGTTGATTACCGATGGTTAATAGTGTTGCGCAATCTGTGACGTCAGTCCCGTTTCATTTTAGCCGCACCTCGTATTTATTTCTACACTGATGTTTTACTGGACACTAAGTGGACCTATGGATTGTTTTCCTCATTTGTTTTTTTCATATTGGGGTTTTTGTTGTTTGGGTTATGAAAAACCGCTTTCAGGACAGAATAGGATTTATAAATTTATCCCGGGGGAGAGGACTTTTCTCAACAATTATCATCAATTTTTCATTTTTAAACACTGAGAGTCCTCAATATATCATATTTCAGCCTAAATCTGGTTTCTTTTACTAATTTACAATGTTCAATTCAATGTTTTTAACGATCGGCTAGTTTCACCCTTTGAATTTAAGTCCTTAATATGTCATATGATATGAAAATACAATAACAGTTGAAAATTTCGCAATACCACATGGAATTATTTCAACAGAATTGCAACATCCATATGATTACCATATTACTTCCGCATACCAGAAAAAAATTTCATAATATTTGTTTCGCTCCACTGTCAGTGTTAGATTATACATTACGCTCGTAAGGTGTAATCTACATTTTTTATATATGAGGCAATTTGTATCTCATGATTACAGTTGATATCAGAATATTTATGGCGAGAAAAGTACTTTGTATCGAAACGTTTCGTGACGTCAAGTAGTCATAATTAGGGTCTTCACGATAGAGGATCATATTTGGATCTTGGAGAAAGGTCCGTGTATCACATATCGAAAGTATATCTTGTATTAATCGGTTTACTAACCATACCTTGACCATGCATGATGTATTGATAAATCTGGCTTCAAAAGCCAGATTAATCAACACATCATACATGGCCAACTAAAATTCATCAAATAAATAACAAGGATTGAGTTTCTCATATAATGGTCATGTGCTGAATCAAATACCAGTAATTATAGTATAGTAGTCATGGAAGGATAATACTTAAAACCTTTTGTTTGATTAAAAAGTGTTTCATTAGCTCCTAATTGACATCGATCGTGTTAAGTTTCCCTCAGCAAATAATTATTTATCAGAGAAATGAAAGTCATTCAGGTTGTATCATATTCGGTTTCGTAAATTTTGTATTTCAAGAATTATTTTTTCAATTTTTAAGATTTTAAATTCAAGCTTTATTGATAATGAAACTAATTAATATGGAGTGTTATTAAAAAAAATCACAATTCTTAAATTCGGTTACAATTTCAGATTTCTCATGAAGACTGTTCTCAATAGGTGTTATCCAGATTTGTTTTAATTCGAAAAGCGTTTGTCCAAGTTCTTTATTTAATTTAATACACCCGTAGCGGCCAACAAACTATATATGGTACCGATAAACTCCCTTCAATTAGCAATTCAAGAAATTTCAAGATATTATGAACGCTCTTTATATTCTCTAGAATAAGACAACTTTGAAATATATTTTTATATAGAAGTAACAGTAATAATATGTATTGTATTTACCTGAAACAGTATATTAGTCACTGAAAAAGATTACTGTAACATATTATACACAAATTAGAGAAAAACTAGATTCAAGTTAATAAAAGTAAGAGGAACAAACATTTTGTGATATATCATCATATCGCCGGATGAGAACAGAAGGGGCCTAAGTCACATTTTTGGAAAATTGACTTTTTTCAATATTTTGGGGTTTTGAGCCATGCTCTACAAGGTGGTATTCTTGAAATCCTGAATTTCTCAATAACAAAAATTTTAGCTGGACTTAGGCCTAAAATATTTAAGAACAGAATGGGCCTAAGTCCAGCTAAAATTTTTATTATTGAGAAATTCAGGATTTCAAGACCACCACCTTGTAGAGCATGGCTCA